AAACAATCGTAATTTCGTTAATTTACCATAAAACGCAGATTCCCGTTCAAAAAGGAAATATTCTTTTATAAACCAGAACAAAACAACCACATCTCATTAATAGTTAATGCAGTAAGTAGTCAATACAACTATTAACCTTCTACCGTCCCCCGGGTAAAGATTGGGACAGTTTTACTGCGCACTAAATATTCTCCCGGCGACAATTGCGATTATGAAAAGTGCACCGTTATTTATATCCCGTCGTTTATTTTTTGTTCCCTTTCAAGGGCAATTAAATACCGCCAGTCTTAAACGTTTTGCATATTCCAAAAAGTCTTTATTATATTCCTAATAGAGATAGCAAAAGATCGGCAGGAAAAAATATTCTTGTATCAGTTTTGATTTCTTAATTTATTATGAGTATAACTTCGACTTTAATACTTTCTATGTGACATTATTATGTACAAATAAATAGCAATACCATACGTTTAAATCGATAATTTTATTTTTGTCAATTCACATTAGATAAAACAACTAGATTAGGTATAACGTCTAGAGTAAAAACGGTTCCAATTATATAATTTTATACGATTTATTTACAAGTTCGTCATCCTTGAATACCTAAAGGATAAATGAAATTTCCTTGTTGACGGAATCGAACGGGCTCCCTCGGGACGAACTGTCAAACTGCTAGAAACTCGCACCGTCTGCAGCGACAACTTTTAATAACCTTTCATATCAGCTAAATGGATTTTGGAAGTTGAGAGCACTCATTAATATCGTTATTACTTAGATTACATACGTCCAGCTGCTTTAATAATACAGGACCGGGATAGGTCACTAATATAATAATTCTACAGGCATATAAGTTCAATATAAAAATGAATCTGTTTATTTACCACCAGGCGGTCGTCACTTAATTTTAAATTCATTCGACAAAACTGGAAAAATATATCAAAAAATTATCGATAGGATTTCAAGAACAACAGAAAGAAAAATCTTGTTAGCAACATTGGCATAAGATTTTTCAAAAAAGACAGATTCTATTCCATTCAATTCCAGCCCAGAATGTATCATATTATATTATCCTTCAAATATGTATTTCTCCATAATAAAAATCTTTGTATAAAATAATGTAAAACATTTATCGCAACAAACAACATAATGGGATATAAAGATTCAAGCTTCCTGATACAAGGACCCTCTTAACCCCCCACGGGCGAAATTGAACGTCTTAGAAACGTCGCTGGTAATCCACGCTTATAATTGATGCGACAATGTCAGCCTGATACAGATAATCGGAAAAATACAAATCCTCAACATGATCGATTGATGTCAAACAATGAGATAAATGTAACTGTTTAACTGTACGGTTAAATCACGAATTTTAACTAGGATAACATATAGAAGGCAAGGGGAAACCACTGCACTATATTCCCAAGAAAGTCATCATCAAGTTAGACGAGTGGCGACGTGTTGTGAAGCGTGCCACCGCACATCATGATGACCACGACCGTTCTGCCAAGAACGTATCGACTTAGAAGAAGAACATATAAATATACTCTTTGAAGGATTTTGTATACGCATGAAATCTAATCCTTAATTTCCAATAAGTATATGGAATCAAGATTCGTCCATCACTCAAGTTTTTTCTGATATAGGTCCTATATTTGTAAATAAAGGGATATAAGTCTTACTTAACCTAATTTAAAGTTATTCCAATTAAATTCTTAGTCTTCCACAGAATTAAATAGATAAAACTTTATTTAAATGACGATATTCAAAGAAATGTATCAATTTAGTTTACTAATTATATCTTAACTTTTATACAAAAATATTTTTCGATAACATTTAGGTACTATTTTATTATAAACGCCAATCCTTCTTTTATATTAAACTAAATAAAAAAATATTTTTTAACAATATAAGAAACGCTTCATGGTAATAACAATTTTGAATATGACTGGAGCTTGGTGCAATGCTTACGGGATAACATTATAGGTATGTATAACTGTCTAAAAATTATGGATTTATATACTCTAGCAAGCTTTTTATAAGTATTTTCCCTCAAAATATTATCTTTACAAGTATATTTACCTACTAACCATAATTAATATTATTACATAATTTATAACATTAGTTGCTTGTTAAGTCACACTATTTAGAATACAAAAACAGAAGTAATACTTCACATCCGTACATGAATTATTTAATAAGAAAAAACAAAAAATACTTATATTTATAGGGTCCTTTATTTTATTATATTGGAAGAAAACTACAAAAATTCACTTTTCAATATATATTCTATAGGACAAAATAAGAATTAATCAAATAAGTACTTATGACGAATTAGCATACTTTCAACAGCATTTTAACAGAAGTAGGTTATAATTACAGGCGTTAAAACATACAAAATAATTTTAAATTAGCTGCAATTTAGAACAGATGTGAATATTATTTTGTAGAATTATTACTCTTCCGGCCCTCGCAGCCCTCCTCGTGTGTAACCGACAAGAAATTGCGGAAAAATTTACTTTTCTGCCTTTGAAATATTGAATTTTTACATTTATGCCTTTCACACCTCATAACACCATATTTCTTCCCAAACATTGCTCCCCTACGCAAGTTTTCTGTAACAGCAGTAACACAAAATAAATGTTTGGTACTTTATAAATCTTAAGTTATTGGGTCACGCTCTATTCTCATTTTAAACGCGTGTAATGCTCGATGATTGATTCGCTACATAGAATATGTAATATTCTTCATTGAGTTCACACAACTTCAAGCGAAATAGTAGGGAATCAATTACTTTAATTTGGAACCCTTTCTGCGCCTTAGAAGCCGACACAAATAATGTGACCACAGCATTTAGTCTGTGGGGCATCGAACGTACTCTAATGGCATCCAACCGCCAACTGGCCGCCGCATTAATCCTTTGCTGGCTGTTGATTAATTATTCAAACTTGCCCCCAGGGCACGCACACACTTCGCAAATTGTTTACAACTACACTTGTATCTTTCGGTTCCGGAGTTTTAATTAATTATTATGTATTGTGTAGAATCAATGTTGCCAACAACAAAATCTCACCTTGATTTCTTTTCTGTTAAAGAATGAATATTTCCTTAAAATCAGGGGGAATTTTTATCTAAAAATTTTTGTCTTGCAAACAGATTTTTCCTTATTTTATTTCACAGATAAAGTTAGTTTTTTTGTAAAGATTTAAGAAATTGAGATATTATGACAACGAAACGGTAAAATAATGTTTCAGGTAGCTAGACCCGTATATAATTCAATTTGGGGTCTGATATTATCAAATTAAGTGCGGACATCGCGACTGTTGACTTGAGCGATGTAAGTGACCCTTAATCCGCAGTAAATCTTCGGTCGGGTCCGCAGTACGAGGGTTAAACAAGCGACTCCAACACCATTTATTACCTACTTGTTGTACGCAACAATGGATTTGTAGGAATAACGACCTACATGATTGTTACGAGTACTTCTCATCCTTATTTTGTGACCCATTATCACTTTTATTAGGAAATAAAAAGAGTTTGATTTCTTTGACTGGTAGCTAAAGGACATTGAAGCATATTTTAAGAGTAAAACAAAAGAAAAAAATTTAGTCTTTTGTAAATTTATTTGTGACAAATGACTAATCTAGATGGGGTCTAGATGACACTGTAAAAAATAGACCATAAATAATATAGCTGGTGACGAAGAAAGCTTAGTGGTGCGTAAGTGGGGACATCCTGATAATGTGAACATTATACGCGGCAGCTCTCGAACTTAATAGTCTGTTATGAGCAAAAAGTTGCCGAGTTGCACTGGCGCGGGCGGCTATAACAATCGCTAAGGAAAATTACTTCGAATTACGTACGGTGTAAATCGATATGTTGTTTCTGAAATTAGAGTTCTCAATTACCGATTTTATAAGTGGTTTATGATATTTTATTAATCATTCCATATGTATCTTACAAATAGATATAATAATACAAACTTTTTTATTTAAAAAAATATATGTCTTCTTCCCGAAAGTTATTGCAATTCAATACAAAAGTCGTGAACGGATGTAACATAAGAAACATTGGAACAGTTTGGTATATTATGATATGAAACAGGCTGTTTGTTAAACACACATATGTGTAAAGTTTTTAAGGCATATAATAGTATGTAAGTTATTTCTTAACTATAACCTAAGTTTAAACATCCCCTAATAACCCTTACTGTAATCCTTTCACTTTAATAGCGGTAATAATTCTAAAGGCTGACCAAGGGCTATCGCCATTCAGGTCCACTTAACAGATAATGATTTAGTTCTGTAATTTCTCACCAAACAAAACCTGTAGTAGACTATTTTAAAGCATAAAAGTGACTTAGTAAATATATTTTCATACAAATCTTTCAATATACGTCATCTTAAAAGATTTTCTTAAAATATAATTGGAAGCGAAATTGTCATTCGCCTTAATCGACTGTTTGATTGACAGCTATCCCTGTCCAATAGTGAAGGAGAGATCTGACGAGCCACGTCAATCATGAACCACCAATACAAACCAATAAATTCTTCATGCCAATATAGCCTTTATGTTACCAATTGTAGGGGTTATTTCAAACATCCTAATTATAATGCGAATAAGTTGCTCGCGGGATCGTCACGCAAACGCAAGCGCCCCATTATTCGCCGCCCTTTTGTAATTTGAATTTCGAATTCCAATTCGTATTTGTGATGAAATAAAAAGAACTGTTTCGACACAATGGCGTCAAGGGCGGTGCTCTGACATGCGATCAAGTTATTACATTAAAGGAAAGCGCACCCGCCAGCCGCTCACAACACTATTATTTAAACTTCAAGGAATATAACACCGCATTATTATGTGAAATGTAATATAACTTTTTTCAAGTGTCCAAAGTAGTATTTCATGAATAACATTAAAGAACTTTCTACAAAGGACTTAAAAATAAGTCATTAAAATAATAAAAAGATATGCTTGAATTTAATTCTTATATTCTTATTCTACAGAAAATGGACTGCCTCGTAGGCTGCGCACAGCTTACACAAATACTCAGCTATTGGAATTGGAAAAGGAATTTCACTTCAACAAATACCTGTGCAGGCCGCGAAGAATTGAGATTGCTGCGTCCCTTGACCTCACTGAGAGACAGGTATATAAAATTTGATATCTTTTTTGCTGGGTCAACAGCCTGCAAGTAATTTGAGAAGCTCATTTCATTAAAATTATTTTTTTCAGGTAAAAGTATGGTTTCAAAACCGACGAATGAAACACAAAAGACAAACATTAAGCAAAAGTGAAGACGGCGATGATAAAGACTCTACTACTTCCGAGGGTGGCAAGAGTTCTAAAACAGGTTTGGAAAAATTCCTTGACGACGATGGTCCTCTATCGGGCAAGAAGAGTTGTCAAGGATGTGAACTGCCACCAGGTGCTCTATGCTCTCCTGCTGAAGATCTTCCAGAGCTGACATCACGTACAAGAAATAATAATACTCCAAGCGCAACCAATAACAATAGCTTTGGAAGTGATGGCGCTTCTAGTGTTGCTTCATCTTCTTCACTCGATAAACTCGCAGAAGAAGACTCCCGGGAAGGTCCACCTCCGGTTAACGCTGTTAATGTACCTAGGAATCTAGCAAAAAGAATTAAGCAGGAATCAAGGAAGCGATCTCCGTCATTAGATGCCACTGGATGTAAAGTGTCTCCATCGTCTTCTAAAGAGGGCCTTATAGGAGTTACGGGTTTACCAGATGGCAAATTTTCATCAGTAAACCTAACACCATCATCTACCCCCGGCACACCGTCTAGTATGCATCAAAGTCCTCTTGGAGCATATCCCAGGCCCTCACCCCCACACGCACCTGGAGCTCCTTTGACACAAACCGTACCTAATGCGATACCACCATATGTTATTAGAGGCAATGCCCCTCCAGGTCAATTTGTACCTCATCCCGACTTTCGCATGGAAACAAAACAATTCGTCGGTAAACTCGCCCAATACCCGCAAAATAACAGATCGTATGAAGCTTACTCAGCGCTACAAGGTGGCGACCATCATATATATCCAGGACGTAATCAGCAGCATTCCAGACAAGATGGATCGCCGACTTCAAGAGCAACCAACGGCATTGGATCTAGACAATCTTATCCTCACGAAATGTATCAGAACTATGCTTACTCTGGATATGGCAAAGATCAAGCCGGGTATGGCCATCCCGGTTATGATCAAGGTCAAAGTTACCCAGCCGAAATGGGCTACCCAAATAGCCATTACGGATACCACTACCATGAAAGTGGACAGCACGATCACGGACACGGATACTTCAGTGGCGAAGGACAGAAGAATATGCACAGCCACGAATATTCAAAGAATTATTACGACACGAACTCTTACAATCAACAAGGGAGTACACAACCCAGTTATGGTCCCAACAACCCGCAACCTGAAGGTTACACAGGAACAGCTGAGTGTGGAGAGGGTTACGGATCTTTTCAACAATTCTATGAAGCGACTCACGCTACACCAGCGACCGGAGAAAACTCTAATTCCTCGTCAGACTTCCACTTTCTAAGCAATCTGGCGAACGATTTCGCTCCTGAATATTACACCATTTGAGACAAGGATTTCGCTGAACAAGCGAGTGATCTCTTCGTGTAACACCAACGACGTAATACGTTCAATGTTATGTAAATATATATCGTTTAGTGTAAAAGGTTATGGTGTTTAAAATAAACTGGAAACCGCCTAAGGCTACAGATATTTGGACTGCTTAGTTCATTCTTAATATATGTTTCATATAAGCTGCGCTATAATGTACTCAATGATGTAATAAAATGTACATAACTTTGTAGCTAAATATTACTTATATTATTTTCAATAGATTAATAAATTTCAATATTTACTGTTATATTTCTAGATGCTGTCTCGCAGTATGAAATGATAACTATGGATCTGTTTATTAAAATTTTCAAATTAGCATTAATGTCTATAACAAACAATAAAACCGAAGCTATTTTTATTTTATAATATATCTATTTACTAATCTCAGAAAATACTCATTTGAAACATAGCTGATAATCAAAGTATGAATAAAATAATTTAATATTCACACATTTCAAAAGTTGTCATTCTGATCTCAAAGGTTTTGACGCCTTATAATCAATCAGTATGTTCTAAATTATATTATGAATAATTAATTATTTATTGTACACAATCTTAAAAATTATAGGAACTTAAAAATGTAAATTAAACATTATAGTGTATAAATTAAAATACCCAATGTATTAAAATACCTTTTCACGTGTTCATTGTTAATAAATATTGCAATTTTCATTAAAATTGATTTTTAATACTTATTATAGATATTCTTTTTTAAATGTTAAGTAATAGTCGTTGCCTTATTAAGTTCATATTGTTTTATGAATATGGAACATATTGTAGATACATTGTAAGTTAGTTTATTAAGCGACTTTATTGTAGATATGAGCGCGATCGTTTTGGCCTATTGAAAATAAATAATTTGGTGTCGCAATGAGTGGCTCATTTTATTACCTATAGTACTTTTAAATTCAAATTAAATAGCAAAATTTGTACTTCTGAGAAGTCAAAATTTTGACAAAAATCATGAGAAACAAGTGATTGCTTATCAATCCATCAATTTATTTTTAATTAAATCTATGAAAACAGCATTTAATAATTTTATTGTTACGAGCGCCATCTCGTGATAAATCAGAAAACTATAAATTTCTTTTAACTATTGCTTTGCCACAAATTTTATTTAAAACTTCTTTCATATCTTGCCACAGTTACTTCTAGAGAGAGAGAAAGATTCTAGGCAGAACTCGGCTTACATTATTTAGATTCTTTTTAATGTAATAGATATTTTATTACAATAACAATTTTTGAGGGAAAACACTGAGCTACAGTTAATAAAATAAAAACAATGAGGTTATCAAATTTTTATTACATAGATTTATATCATCTGAAAATGTATCAGCACTGGCTTAATTTATCTCATGTTAAACTCGGAAGCATTATGCAAACATCGCATCTATTCTGATAGAATAAAAATTAGAGCATCATTCTTATGCTAAAATTAATGAAGGTTCATGTGATTAAGCAATAACTAAGAACTAATATTATGATGTTGAAGCCTTTTTCTCTTGAGATTGAGCCTGAACTTTCATTTCCATCATCATACAAATAGCTTCTCTCGCTTTTGACTTGCCAACACCCATTGACTGAATCTTCTCCATCTGTTCCGTGACAAACTGTACCTTCCTCTTAAAGTAATCTTTAGCCCCTTCTATGTCCTGAAATTTAAAAAATACATATATAAAGCACAAGTAAGAACAGTATGAGTAGTAAGTGAGTGGTGGTTATTGGTGAAAATGCCCCTCTCATGCATGAGGCCGCAGGTTCCATCCTGGCAAGTACCTTATGTGATTTTTCCGAGTCATGTGTACTTTCTAAGAATATTTAGACATCACTGATTATTGCATTTCCAAAAAAAGGGTTGATGTCTGGCAGGTGGCCGGTCGTAAGAACAATTACGCTCCTTTCACATTACACGAATTCGCTCGTGCGGGAAAAAATCGCCCGATTTTTAATCGTGGTTTTGCTACTTTCACATTGAACGATAAAAATCGTACATTTCTATAAGTTCATTGGAACATTTGGTCTGGTCTGGATGAAAAGTATGGATCGCGAACAAGTTATTGCGTTATGGATACTGTATCAGCGTCGGAAAAGACAAAGGCGCAATCGCCTTCACTGAAATCCGGATTGAATGCTAAACATACTCCTTCCTTGTTGCATTTCTATCCTTATAAATTTCTAAAGTTTCGTCCCATAACACAGGTTTTGCTTCAACTAGGGATATTAACACTTCAGCGTCAACACCTTCCATAATTTGCAAACAAACCACCAAAACTGAACGCGGTAGAAACAATACTGGGGACAATTCCCGTACGACTAAAGACCATCTAGTGTGAAAGCGTGCATTTGGTCACGTAGGCCACTAGGCTAGAGGGCAATATGGTAGCCGTGCGGTTCTAGTAGCACTGGACGGCTGCAACACGATTACAAAACGTGCCCGTGTTCAAATCGTGCAATGTGAAAGGTCTCGTACTCTTCAACAGTCAATCAAGAAAAATTGCCCGGGCGATTTTTTCCCGCACAAGCAAAATTGTGTAATATGAAAGGAGCGTTAGTCAAAAACTATTCACAACATGTAAGGCAGACCCTGGCTAAAGCTGAGAAATCGCCAGGTAGAAGAAGAAGAAGTATGAGTACTAAGGTAGCATGTACTAAGGTAGTATTTATTATCTAAATTGACAGGAAGAGATATAAATGGAAAATAAATATTCATACAACTTTGTTTATAAATTAATGAGTTAAAAATAATAGTAATAGAAGATTATCCAGAACTAATTGATGACAAGTATTTTTAGGTATACTTACTTTTTGTGCATAATACCCAGTACCAATGTCTATTATAACATTATCAGTATCCACTATAGTGCCCGGTACATACATCGAGCCTGTGAGAGGAACAAGAATCGTCTTGCCTTTCGCAGCAGTAAGTTTTTCGACACTCTCCCCTGATTCAACGAATTTTTGTTGTGCTATTTTAAGAGTTTGTAACGAATCTTGAAAAACATTAAGCTCCTGAAAACCAAGAAAAATTAGTATTGTTTGATTGAAAATAAAGAAATAAAACACGGTGTTTTATTAATATTTAAATCCTTACTTGATCTAATTGCTGTTTCAACTTAGCCAACTGGTGGATATTTAGCTTCGATAGATCGATTTGCTGCATACCAGGCATCGGAGCCGAGGATATTGTGGCCATTTTTATATAATTATTTATATTACTATATCTTCACCTCAAAATACTTTAGTTAATTGACTATTTTTAATGAATGTACATTATAAAAATTATAACCTCGATACTTCTGAGTTCAGATGCCTAAGACTGACATAAATTTCAAATGACAAGTGACAGCTATAGAAATACTCAGTGTTCCATTCCTAACAACTTTATTATAAAAATGAAATAGTTTTCTTCTCTGATTTTTTAAATTTTGAAATAAGATTATTAATGGAATTATTACAAGAGTTGGTGAAATAACTCTTTTTAATAATATTTAAGGTAAGAATAAATAAGTATACAATGCAATATATTTGATTAACGTGCCTTATTTAATAATTGAACCTAACATTTTATATTTTTAAATGTAAATATGATTATATTTCATTTTTATTTAAACTAAGACAATACTCAGTAGCAATTTTCGAATGTTCCTGGCGTACGTGATGTCTTATGTTGACATAATGTCTAATATCTATGTATAATGTCATTTTATATTTTAGGGTTAACTCTAGCTGATTCATGATTGCTAAATATTGTGGCGTGCGTAAAAACGAGATTAATCAGATGTAAATATCAGTTAAAATATACAAGTAATAAATAATTATCTTAATAAAAGTTTTCACGTTATATTTTCATTTAGTATTGTGAATTATACAACTCTATAACCTCGACATGACGCTCGCAACTATTGATACTGTAGAAAGTTTTACTAGTTTTGTAAGGTAAGGATGTTATTTTTTTGAAACAAATTAAATAAATCTGTAAATCCTGAGAACTATTATTATTAAGTATATGTTAAGTAAAATTTTTGGCTAATCTTTTATTCACCTTGAAGAATTTAATGCTCCGATAAAAATAATATCGAATTTTCTTATAAGACCAATAAATGTAACTGACATATAATGAGTTTGAAATAATTTTCAGTTCACCTACATTAACAGTAGTACATTTCTGTGCGGAATGGGCAGATCAATGTGGCCCTGTTACAGAAGTCCTTAAAGAATTGTTAAAATTACCTGAAATCCAAAGTAGTTGTACTAAATTTGCTGTGTGTGATGCTGAAAACTTGTCTGAAATCTCATTGAAATATAAGGTACTATTAAACACTAAATTGATTTATTTAAAATTAAATCAAGCTTGTATTTATTATTTATTCAATATTTTAAATTATATTTCCAGGTTGATTCTGTGCCAACGGTTATATTATTTAAAAATGGTCAGCCTTTAGACAGAATTGATGGGGCAGATGCGTCCCAAATTTCTTCTAAAGTAAAAGCCCTTAGCGGGGGAAATGTAAATGCTCCAAAACAATCATTAGAAGAGAGACTCAAAGCCCTAATTAATAGACACAATATAATGGTTTTCATGAAGGGAACAAGAGACCAACCGAGATGTGGTTTTAGTAGGACACTCATACAAATTCTAAATGGAACTGGGTAAGATATAGAATATATGAAATAAGGAAATACTGTATAGATAATTGATGTTAAAAAGATATTGATAAGATATATATAAGCCACATCAAATAATTTAGAAGATAAAATTTTTTGTATTTACTAAACATTTTTATCATAATATAAACTATGTGGATAACTATTTAATAACAAAAAATATAAATGATGTAACAGAAATCAAACAAAAATATTAATTCATTTGTATTGACAGCAATGAGATAAAATATAAAGATAACTTAAACGGCTTTATAGTAATGGCCTTCGTTTGTTGAAAAAAATATACATTAAAAAGGTTTAAAGTTGCTAATAATCAATTATAAGAACAACAACACAAGATAGTGGAAATTTGATTTTAATAATACTATTGTGAGGTAGACACTAGACATATGATGTCTAATGTTACATTATTCTTACCAAAAGAAATCTGTTATAAGAAATCTTTTCCTTTTGGTGTAAATGATAATTATTTTTTTGAGTTAATCTATCTTATTTGGATAAGTGCAATGTCCTGAAATCACTGCAAATACTATTGTTTAGTTTTAGGACTGTTAGTCCTATTTTATCTAAATTTTCTTTTAGCCATTAAACATGTCGTACTTGACAAAAGTGTTATAACTGTACATATAAATGTAATGACTGTGTAAGAAATTATATAGTCTACTATAAGTTTGTAGAGCCAAAGGATCAGTTTTATCTTACCTCTGATATAAGAGGTTTGATAAAAAATAAGGTGAATATTTATTTTTCTAAAAAACTAGTTATATTTCATCTATTTCTTTTAGCCTGCTTCAAAACACTTGTACCAGTGTTCTTTCAAATCCTCAAAGCAGTTCTAATACACATTTTTGATATGGCCTTAAGCTTTCCCTGTGATTCAGTATGTACCTCGTCACTTGTCGCAAAACGTCGTCCTTTCATGAGTCTCTTCAATCTTGTATATAGGAAAATGCTGCAGGGGAAAAACGACAGAAATATGATTACTGGGGTCATGATTACGGTGTGGTTTTTTTCCGAAAATTCGCAATTTTGGAACGAAGTTTGCTGCCAGACGCTTTAAGGCAAAAAATTTCGTAAAAAAATTGCCAGGCATGAGCCAAGCGATATGCTGGTATCCTCGACTACATCTCTCGTAATGATTCGATGATTCTCCATAACAATCTTCTTCATATTTTCATTGGTTGCTGATGTTGCTACATCATCCAGTGCAAGCATCCCCATTCATATCTTCTATAACTTCTAAGAAAAACTTATACCACTTGTAAACAAGTCTTTTTCAAACAGAAAACTCTCAACTTATGCCACTATCAATGTTTTGAGTGTTTTTGAGCACTTAGTTCCATTTTTCATACAAAATTGTATGCAAATTCTTTGATCCATATTTTTTCGAGATCAGAATCAACCAAACTAATACCTCTCTGCTCTCACAAGCAAATTAAATATAGTTGCAACTGTTAACATATCTTCGGCATAGCATATCAATGTAACAAAATTAAAAAAGAACACTTATTATAAGTAGCATGCGAAATTTAAAAATTTACCTTATTTTTTTTAACAGACCTCACATCGTTTGCTATTTTGTTTTCATGGTACCAATACACGTCAAAAGACCGGTCTATATGCGAATTATTCTACTTTACCGAAAATTCTGATGTAGTACATAAACTACAATTATCAGATTTTTAATCTCTAGTACTGTCCTATAGATTTTATTTAATAATGTGAAATAATTTCTTAAGCGTTAGTTTGCTTACACATTCCTATATCACCTATATGCAATAATATGTAAAAATTCTTGAGAGGCATTTGTTTGATCAAATCATCTTTTGAACTTTTATTTACTATGTTTTTTTGTAAGAAGTATTCTACGAAGTAGTCGGATTAGTTATGATTGCCCAATAGGAAATTAACTTGGTTGCCATTGTTACATACAGTTTTTTTATCTGTATTTTTAGAGGTTTTCATCATGGTATTTCTCATGGACAGACATTCGTCATGATTGACTCTCATTTGTATTGTAAAATGAACCTAGTTAGAACAAGGAACATAATGTTATTGACTTCTTTTTTCCACTTCTATAATAAAGCCTTCCTCCTTACATATGCAAGCTCTTTTATTTTTGATACGGTATCCAACGGGACTGCCCCGTTTTACAATGGCGAGTCCTAGTGGCCTCGAAAACTATTGTAGGAAGTAAAATTGTCCCGGTTCAGAAACCGCGCGAAAATTTGATTAGCAAACGGTTGGCTCTGAAGCCCTTTTTTTTTTTTTTTTTTTTTTTGTGCGCACTGGGAAAAAATGCTTTACGCATCCCCTCTCCGTTGAAGACGGAGAGGGGTATGTGGGACTCCCCGGGAAAAGGATTCCCGGTATACCCACTAAAATAACCCAGTGGCGCTCCGACCTCGCCTGACTGGCAGGGGGCTGGGAATCCTGTTTGCGTCCAGCCCCCTGCTGGCGATTGCCCACCTTTTGGCGGACCCCTCACGCCCCCCCAGGTGGGGGGGGGCTCTGTTGTGGCCGGAGCGCACGGCCATCTATGGCCGTCGCAGGGGCGGGTGAAGATGGACGCTGTGTGCGCCGCCTTCCGCCCCTTCTCCTTCTGCGGAGCGCTGGCGCTGAGGGATCGTCCTCGCGCTCCCGCTCCGCCGCCTCCTTCTGTGACATGGCTCTGAAGCCCTGACCAACCGAACGCGAGCTAACGGTATGCGAGAGTGAGACCGCGTCGTCGTGTTTTGTTGCCATATTGACTTTGGCAAACTTTTTATTTATCTACTTCTCGCTATTTGTTTTATAATTGTTTGAAGTGTCGCACAGAATTAAGTGTTTCCCGCAGTGGTGGTAGTGATATTGAACAGCATTTTAAGACTGACAAACGTAAAAATGCCGGTCGTACCGCAACTGTTAAACTTTTTCAAGAAGTCGGACACGCCAACTTTGAAAGACTTGGATATCGTCGTGGCAAATGGCGTCTGGGCTTATAAAAGAAAACCACAGTTTCGTTCTAATAATAGGTGTTGGATGTTAAGCCCTTGTTATTCACAATGCCATGAAATCTGCTGCAGTTGTGCTACCCGTAGATTACGATAGCGTTCTTGTGAAGATATATTCCTTTTTTATATTTATACAATTAGAGTTGCAGCTCTAAAGGAGTTTTGTGCCGAAACTGAAACCAGATGGCTAGCTCTTATGCCTAATTTGCAGAGAGTTTTAAAAATGTACCAGCCATTAAAAAGCTACTTTTTGAGTATTGAAAAATGTCCCTTGTTACTAAAAAAACTTTTTGAAAATCCCACATCCGATGTGGTTTTATTTTTTACACGCTCAGTCAGCAAGTTTTCATGAAGCTATCTTGAAACTTAAATCTGTATCGGCAATTGAAGCTGCAAACGAAATCAATCAATTAAAAGACATTTTTACTCAGACACAGACCAAACAATTTCTTCCCTGTATGGTCCTTCAATTAATGTCAAAATTAAAAGATAGTGATATCAATGAAGAATTTGTGTTAAGGACGGCTACATAATTTTATAAAACAAGCCGTGAATATCTGGAGCAGTGGACTTGCTTTCTTACCAAAGAAATGGAGATATTTTATTGGGCAGATTTAAAAAAGGTCATGAGAAGACATTTAAAGATCTCTGGATATATTAATTGTAAAGCAATATATTGACTGTAATTAAGATACTGAAGTCTTTGACGAATTTTCATTCATTTATAATTACATTACTTCGCAAAAAGTAACAGGATGGAATAATTTAAATGTTTCCACGGAAACTCGTTGGATCGAAGTATTCAAACATTTTCGCGCCAATAATCATTAACATGTAAATTTTTCTATTATAATTGTATATATTTTATGTTTGCCTGCCACAAAAAATCCAGTAGAAAAATATTTTCTATTATGAATAAATTGTGGACATGTGAAAAAACCAAGTTACAAATTTCAGTTCTAAGGGCGATGTTGATTATGAAAGTGAATATAAAAAAAACATGCCAAGAGTTTCATTCTTACTGAAAATCGTCACCTATAAGCTATATTAAAAAAAATGTTCTGAAAAATATAAATAAATATTTTAGATACCTTTCTGAATCATAACTCTATGTTAAGCCAACTAATATATTCTGTATAAATAACTTTAAAAAAGTGTTATTTGTTTCCGCTGTCTCGTTTTGAGTCAGAAAATAAATGGTCACGTCCCCTGTCTGTTTAATACTGTTGTAGAAAACATTACTTGAACTAGTCCTTTATAATATAGTAAAATTTGTGTAGGGAATTTATTATTTTCTATCATAGTTCATACTGCTGTCTAGTATTTTCTATCATCAGAATGCACTAGAATAATAATATTAAATATATAGTAGATATATAATTTGAGACTAATGTAAACACATATTTTACAATTAACATTAATTGAATTTTTAAAGCTTCCTTAACATAGTTTTGTCATTTCAAAAAATATTGGGAACATGCATGAACCAAAGTTTATAGTTAGTTTTTTGTATAATAATATAAATTTTATACCAGTACACACATTCAAGAATTATTTTTTATATATTACAACGTAACGTTCAGTATTTGGAACTCTAAATATATAGTTTGGTATTAATTAAAGAATTATTGATTTCAATTATTGTTTTCTTAAGCAAACATTTAGTTAATAAAAAAATATCAAATGAACGTTGCTAAACGACACGTTCTATTTTACTTTGTTAACAAACTGAGCGTAATTTAGTCATAATTTTTTATTTGTTACAGCTCAGCATATGATACGTTTGATATCCTAACAGATGAAGAAGTTCGTCAAGGGCTGAAGACTTATTCCGATTGGCCAACATACCCCCAAGTCTATGTGAAAGGGGAACTGATTGGTGGATTAGATATAATTAAAGAAATGTTAGCTAATGGGGAATTGGAATCTACACTGAATGCCTAAACTGTACTTGTCACTTCTATGTAGCAAAACTTTTTATTTATTCAAATAAAAAATTTCAAAAACATGTCTTTCATATTTATATTTTAAGTAGGCCTTAATTACCCGTTTCACTATTTATGTATTAAATCTAAAGTCGTTGGTAACAAAATAAGGCCTGTATATTTTTAAGCTGTAGATCTTTATCAATAAATTAAAATTTAAAGTGTAGCAGGAGTAAACTAGAGAGTAATAATAGACGGATTGGATTTTTTTAAAAGAAATTCATATTTATCATTTTATTTTTTATTGGATCGCCATCAAAGTATACACAAATACAACCATTTAAATTAATACAATTAAGATGCTATGTGCTACCTCAGTTACAGGCAACCACTTCATGCTGAAATAGTATAACAGAGTGCATGTAATCACAAAGTTAACATTTTGGTTTAAATACATTTAGTTAAAATACAGTGCATGAAGAACAAACAACTAGAAAATTAAATCTAAGCTTAATTAATTAAACATTTTTTATTGTTTTTTTTTTAATTCAAGAGGCCTTCCCGAGAATATATCAATATTAGTATTTTTAAAAAGAGAGTTAAACTTTAATGTCATTCTATTCGGTGAATAATTACCGAGATTACTTTGCATTTTTTTGTATTGAATGGAGTACACACGAGCCTTCTTGGGAGTTTAACTGGTGCATAAAAGTATCGATATCGATGTTTAAAAAAATTAACATACTACCTAAAATCCAGGACGTATAATAATTAAAGGTGTTACCAGATAGGTAGGCACCCGACACAATTGGCTGTCAATTGTCATGTAAATGTAAATTGACATTGGCAATCTGACAATACATCTGTGGACGTAGGAAGAAATCTTACTTGTTTATAAATATTTGCATTCTTTTTGCTAACAATATGGATACTTTAATTTCCTTTAATACCAGTAAGTAGACATATTTTGTATTTTTCAATTATCAAAATGTTATATCTTATGAAAACCTTTTTATACCCAGAATTTATGAATAAAATAAGAACTGCTGGTGATGGAATGGAATCCGTAGACTTTACGAAAGAAGGTCGTCCAATATCCGAAACAAAATCTACTACTGGATTAAGCTGTCAAGAGTCTTTGCCTGGTCGCAGGCTTGTACAAATATATCCAAGCAAAGTTGTTACACCCGAAAGAAGAAGCTCACATATATATTCCAAGACTCCGAAATTCGTTCCCTATGAACCATACCCGGGGGCTGTTAAACCTATCACACCAAACTTTAACTCTAAAGGAAGCAAAAAATCACGAAATCATATGGATATTAATAAATTAATTAATCAAATGTCACAAATGAATACCACCATAAATGAATATAGGCCAAGGAGTAAACTATTATCATGCAGTGATAAATCTGAAACAGATTGTGATAAGGTTAATTTAGATAATGAAAAGCAAAAGAAAATTGATGAACTAACCAAAGAAAATGAAAGTTTGAAAGAACAACTCAAACAACAAGCGCAGGTAAATAAAACAATATTATTTATTTTTATTGTAAAGTCAAACTACAAAAACCATATTTCAAATTTTATTCCAAACAGGTAAATAAAGAATTAAAAACGATGCTAGTGGCATCAATGGGTGAAGATTTGGAGTTCAAAGTACACTCACTTAACGAAGATAAAAAACATTTGGCCAATGCTTTGCTGAACTCAGCTCAACATTTGTCTACCCATCAGGTAATTTCTAACAGGCATTATTATTTATGGGAAATGTTCTTACTACTACATATTATACATGTAATAGTAAATTGTTCACCAAGGGTGGAAAGAATCAATTCCCTAGGTAGTTAGATGCGCGAGCGCAGCAAGGTCGGCTATGGTCCAAGTTGATTTGATTCTTTTACACAAGGTAAACACTCTACTTTTCATTTCGAATAAATAAGGAAAATAAAACTAGTAGTTTATCTGAACTAAGTATTTATTGACAATATATATAAATTTTGAATATGTAATTCCCCGCATATTTGTTGTGGTTTATTCCGGTCAAAGAAGTTCGCGTCAAAGAGAATACAATATCTACTAGTTGCACTAAGTAAGTTCACACTGGCTGTTAAGAAACTCGCATGGCCTCAGCATTTTTTTTTAAATTTTTACATATAATGTCACCGCTGACAGTAGATGTATTTTTTAAATTCATTCCGGCCCTTGGGTGGAAAGTAATTTGTATAAGTTTTTCCCGCCCTAGGGAGGGAAAAAGCATTTTCCACCCTATAATCAGATCAAAACAACACTTTCAAATACTTTATGAGTATGAGGAATGAAAAAGTTGTTTATTTGTTACACAACTACATATATAACCAACCTAAATCAAACTGTATATGTAACACCAATTCACTGTTATATAAAAAAATGTGGTGAATAGCAATTGTATGTCTAAAATACATAATCACACATTACTCTAAGTATACTATGTGAGTGTCGGCATTTGAACACAGAGGTTTAAAATTTTTTGTCACTGTAGGAAAAGATAAAAATCTATTTGTCTCAGATGAGCTTTGTTTGAGTCAATTAATGTGAGATATTTAAAAGTTTTTAATATACAATGTCATTGGTGTTGTTAGTTTTTGACTTAGAAATTAGGTGAGGTAGTATGGTACCACAGTTGTACCGTTTAAATTAAATTTAATCTCACCTTATATATTATATAACCTATTGTTGTTGTAAAATAATCTCTATATAATTTACAAAGTATGAATATAAAATTACATTATCTATATATATAAAAATGAATTGCTGTTCGTTAGTCTCACTAAAACTCGAGAACGGCAGAACGGATTTATCTTATCTTAGTCTTGAAATATTCGTGGAGGTTCAGGGAAAGCTGAAAAAAAATTATTCTTTTCCGGGAAAACCCTAAAAACAGCGCTTTCCTATTTCCCATACAAACGGTTATTTTAACATTAGATTTCATAACTAACTAATATGTCAATCATTCTGTCGCACTTTAGACCACGTAGGTAATTTCCAAAAAAATAAATAAAAAATTATTTATGTATGTAATAAAAATTGTGATGTCTGTTTTTAAGAGAAAATAAAGGTGATGATGCTTATCATACAGAAGGATTAATATTGTTAAGTAGATAAACCAATTTAACTGCTGATTCTTAAAAAAAACTAGTTTACTATCAGTGCTTCTTAGGACGGTACTTCAAAACTTTTTGTCATAAAAACTCTACATATATAATATGTTATTTTAGAAATGTATTATTTATTACAAAAAGGTCACGTGTTAATAAAAGTAAAACAAAGGCATTAAAAGCATACATTATTTTCTTTACAAAAAATAGAGTTGGAGTATGTATGTGTTGTAGTTTTTAAATAACCGTTTTTACTTAATTAATATGGATGTATACCAATATTTTTACACAGCTCCTTTCTGTATATCTGTAATATCTGCAAGTTTACTTATTCTGTACAATATTCGACACAGCTTGATAATTTTTAAGACGACTCGTTCCCATATGTTTGATGTAATATGGTGTAACAGAAGCTATTTTCATTTTAGAAATTAATTTATTAAGAAACCTTAAGAACATAATAATTTAATAACACAATCTTAATGTTTTAGCTATACAGAATCACTGGTGAATTACTATCAATATTTAAGGAGAATACTCGGTACATGATTCTCATTCGAATTATGTAAAAAAAAATAGGTTACTTAATTTTTGATCAAATTTCCGTATAAATAAATAAAGTTTGTATAAATAAATAAATAATTTCCGTATAAATAAATAAAGTTGGAACACTTGGAACGTGTCCACAGGTTCCAAGTGTTCCAAGTGTGGACGCGTGCGGCGGCGTACTGATACAACACCACGCCGCCGCACGCGTGTGTGTGTGTGTGTATACCTAATCTGTAGGGTGTTCACACGATGCGTAATTAATTACATAACTTTTGGTTAACTTTACTTAGAAGTTTATTAATATTAATGTTATATTAATTTTTATTTTGTCATATATGATCGTCAAATATTACGTCCTCAAGTATCGATAGTAATTCACCAGTCACCCTGTATACTAAATGAATGGTATTGCATTACGCTGCCATTTAAATACATGTTTAACCTTCGATATATAATACATATTATATTATGCAAATGTAAAACTATTTTTAGCGGGTCAATTTATTTTGCATATATAATATTGGTCGCTCTATTATAATTTTAAATATACAAAATAATACATAAAAATCCAGAGGTCAATAGCTTGTCCTTGGGAAGACCATGAATGTTTTAATTATTTTTTAGGAACAAACTGAATGGTTGGCTGGTCAATGCGAAGTGTGGAGAAGTAAATTCTTAGCGAGCAGGTAAAAATATAATGTATAAATAAAAACCCAAAATATATTAAAACATAATAAACTTAGTTCTCTTTATCATTTCAGTTTAATGATTGAAGAACTTGCCATGTGTAAGAAAGTTTTGACTGAAAAAACAGTTAATTTACAACAGTCAATTACCCAGTTGCTCGATGAAAGATGCAGAATAAGGGATATGTTGATATGCACATACAAGAACTTGTATGGCTTACACGAGAATTGGCTAGAAAATATAGCTATATCCGAATATATGGGAAATAAAAACCGTCCAATCGGTAATCTAAATTTTACCACGACCATGCCACATTCAGCAAATGTCCTCGATTTGGCGTCAACAAACTTGAAATTGTCCGAAAATATTAGTAGCTCTATTGAAAAACCAGACGTAAGCCATTTGGATAAATTATCGACTGTCACTGAAGCGGAGAAATATGCTGAGCAAGTGAGTTTATAATATAAAATATATTTACTAGTTCAAATATGGTAATATGATCTCATTATTAATTGTATCAAAATTATTATACTTGTGTTATATCGGAAAGAATTAAATAAAAATCATTATATTTCAGGTAATGGCTGCACCGTTTGAAATAAGAAAAGTGAACGAGGGACCTGTACATGCTTTAGTGAATCATGCTTATAATAGTAGTGGGAATATAGCAGTAGCTTCTTGTGTACATTGTAATGGAAAAGTTCAGCTACTATAATAATACTGTATATTAATAGAAAAATTTATTTCCTTTAGCTTTAAAATATTGACATATTAAAATAAATGGGGGTCGTTGAAGTTCTGCTCAATATTGCACAATATTTTAAATTCTTTTGTTTATTTCTGTAGAGTTTTAACATTCTATTTTTAAAAAGATTCAAAAATATTCAGATATTGTAATACAAACCTACTTTTTAAACAAAATAATTATTTGGGTGTAATTTTTAACATAACAATTAATTTACTGTTTATAATCTAATTTATTTGTAAGTATTCATATATATTATGTAAAATGGGAAGTATTTTTCAGTTGTGATAATTTTTAAATATATAGGTTGTTTTTATGACTTAAAATATTTTGACTCGCAATTATTATGATATTATGTAAAATATGTATAATATGCATATCAAATAAAACATAAAAATAAGATATCTTATAAAAACATTCTTTATTTTGACTGTGTTTTTATCACTTATAAGTTAAAGGTCAAATTTATGCATCATCTCCATCCCAGTGTAATTGTAAGCAAGGTAATCTTTAACGGGAACATATTTAGCACCACCGAACCAATCAACCATAGCTATTTGGGCTATCTTCATTTTAGCCACAAACCAATTGTGATCTGGAAATGTATGAAATAATTAAGTTTAATATATAATTATGAAGTTAATATATACATATATATATATATATATATATATATATATAAATATTGTTAAATTACAAACCAGGTGGAAAGTTGGCCATGTCTGGATGCCTTTCAAATAATGCGGCCTTTGCAAATGTGTATTCTGGAGTGTTTTCCTTGACCTGAAAATTTTACCATATCACATACATATAATTCCTATTACTCGTATTGGAATATTTCTATTGATTTCTGTAATTTCTACAAGGCATAAATGTCTTTAAGAAAAAATATTTGCGGTTGTTGAAATCTATATTAAATAATCCTTTATGTGTAAATAAATATTTTTCATTTAAATTCAGGTCATAAAGTTATATTACAAAAAAATATATATATAACATATTGCTATTAAAGAATTCACACATGTAAATCAGAATGATTTATAAAAAATGGTGCATATATTAACGTGATAATAACTTCATGTGTATTCAAAGGTGTATAAGTGTAAGTGCAAAAGAATTCCTAAAAAGAATTTAACTCAACATAATGGTGAAATAAGGCTCTAAAATGCATTCCTAGTGGTTTATTAAATCGAAAAAAAGCAGATGAGTATGTATATTGACAAATGACAGTCGTCAATTATTATCGCTTCCACCGTCTAAACACTATACCTCTGTTCTGCAAACATCTTTATTAAATGATAATTATGATAAACCTCCTTGTTACAACACAATCAGACTTATTATAAATCAATACATGTGGTATTATTGTGAAAGCTGTAATTACTTAGGGTTAAATGTTATCAACTTATCGCTGTGATAATAGAGACGTGCAAATAACGATGTAACTGTTATCAAATGAAATATTTATTTAACGAGGTTTTTTTTAGACTTGGTTAGAGTTCATGTTTTTTTCAGTCGCATATATAGAAATTTATTTGCATTAATTTTATTATTTAGTAAGAAAATTAATTACCTTCTTCATTAGTCCTGATAACATCAATCTGGTGCATCTCGGATCTTCGGGGTCGTACTTCTTAAATTCACAAAATCTTGTCTCCTCTAAAGAAACTAACACCGTGGAGCGGATGTCTTTCTATTAAACACATAATCTATATAAAACTAATGAATTACACTAAGTTATATAAGTCATTGAGATGAGTAACGTAATAAATTTACCGATAGATCGCGAGCAGTGAAATCCAATGGCGACATATAAAAGTACGGGATTCCAGTTGAATTAGCTAGAGATCCGTCAACAATAGATTTAACATTCGAAAATGGAAATCCTTCAATGGCTGGTAATGTTGAAATTGTGGCTATTGACGCCCAATCTGTGAAAAATAACAAACATTTCATACATTAAATAAGTGGCGTAACATTATTTATGTTGGAATTTTCTTACGTCAATATTAACCTTTATTATAAAGAGTAATGCAAAAAATTTCAAAAAGAAAATGCTGTTTTTTTAACCTTAGTAAACGGGCAATATATGCGAAATTTTTGTGACGCTTTTTTATATTTTATAGAAGTAAACTTTTTAACTGTCGGTGTACAAATCTTACCAGGAAATAGGAATATGAAGTGTATTCAAATTTCAAAAGTAAGTGTATTGATTCGATGAAGGTTAACATTTCCTTTTGAGTTTCAAAGTATTTTTTTATGTTGTTTATATAAACTACAACGACTATAAAATCTACGTCATGTAATAAAAAAAATCTTATATGCAAAACAAACAGCTGTATCTGTGACCTTCAAAATATTAAGGATAATGTAATTTACTCAAAATCTTTATTTTCGTATAATAAAAATACTTACTGCAGTTATGGAGGACGTATCTCGCCATTGCAACCAACTTTTTATGGTCGGGAGGATCCGGAACATAGAGCTTTTGTGATGTTATTTTCTCAGATGCATCTTTAAATTCTCCACTTTTAAAGCTGTTGTATTTACAGTTCCCGTACAATACAAGGAGGCTTAGACATAATAGTGTCTTCAACATGATTTCTTATCTGGACAAATATGAAAAACCTATTATATTTCTTAAAAATGTAAATTATATCTTATTGCAGATGTATTTAAATAGAAAACTTTTTATTCATACAACAAAGGACGGACCACAGAAAAGGATCGATTTGAATCAATCAATTATACATCGGGTACTATGTTATTGCATTAGTTATTTCTTATCCCTTTTGCTATTCCATATTGCCCTTTTCTTGATATGAATACCGAACTTTCATTAGAAATACATATATGCAATATAACTCGAATATGTTTAAAACCGTCTAGGATGCAGCGCCATCTATCATATGAATCACTAGTAGGGTTGCGTAGAAGAATAAAGACATTATCCTTACTATATGTTTGCATGGTTATACTACTTACAAAGCGTTTTCAGTTTTTCACTCGCTTACGTCGAAACTATTATGTGCAAACATTTATAAATAAAAAACAGGAAACTCTGTGTATGTAGTTTAAAGATGGGAACTTGTGGTAAGATATAGGTTTATTAGTTATATTTTCCCCATTTAATCAATAAATGGACCGTGTTTACATTCAAATACGTAGCATTAGCACTATCTAGCACTTTTTAATTAAATATTCCATATACATATATGTTATATGAGATCCATATTTGAAAATAAACATGAGTATTGGTTTCACGGAAATGTTTTTGCTGATCGGCGTTTTTTTTTTGTTAAATTAATCTCAATGTAATTTAACCTTGTTTAGATTTTATTACATTGAGATTAATGAAACAAAAAAAGCCTGTTAATATTAATACTCATTTATTGGCAGCGACAGCTGATCAACATTTTTATCTATACACATAGTTGAGTTATTCCCTAAGTATAAAATAAAAATATTAATGTGACGACTATATTTTTAAACTCTGACTCATGCCAGTTTTGTAATTAAAGAAATCAATGTACAAAACGTAATGAATAAGCACAGCTATTTTTGGAAAATAAAAAATGTTTTTTGTATGTAAATTAATTAAATTACCTACAATGAAAATAAAAATTAATGAAGACGATAACTACATTCCAAAAAAAATCCGTTCCTTTAAATTTTTCGATATAATTTTAAATTAAAAGTAAAAAATGTTTTTTTCTTTATATTTACTAAAAGTTAACATCCAACTAAATTCGGAGCCTTACCAGTTTTTCATTCTTAAACTCACGTTCTTACTTATTATACGTTAAGATTAACATATTAAATATGTAAAACCATGCTGACTATGTAGTTTAACTACGCAAAGTTGTGCTAAAAGTACACAATTATTTCCTAACTTTACTAATTGCGCATCGCGAATCATGAAAAAACACCGAAAACTGGTAATTTTTTTACATATTAATTAATAGGTATGTACATATGTAATAATAGCCAATTTGATATAAATATTGTGAACATTAAAGAAATTTATTTTAATTCTGACATTGACCAAAAACCTTGTTTAAAACCATTCAACGAGTTAATATCAATACACATGTGATAAATTCAAATAATCCACATAAAGGTATGATAAAAACAAATCAATAAAGTTTTTGTACTCACATAAAAAAAAGGAAAATTATTAACAAACAAGGAATATACGTAAACGTATTTGGCGGATATTCAAAAACTGGCCCCAATGCTTGTTATAATAAAATTTGACTATAAATACACTGTCTAGCGCGCAAATCGCGCCAATGACTAAGTAGTAACACGCTAAACGCAATAAATGCAAGTAGTTATGTCAACAGTCAACAAGATTCATTGACAGCCGCTACAACTTCATTCATTTTCTCGTGTTGCCATAATGATGAAAATAATATTGTTTTATATTACTTAAACGTCAAATGTATTTAAAAAAATGTGTTTTCATTGAAATAAGAAGGAAAACTGTTGGGAAAAAATAAAATAAAATTTTATCGTCATTATTTTATTAAGGAAGATGTTAATTCTTTATTCCACTCTATGGGAAAAGTTTATCATTACAAAATATTAAAAGATTGGAAATAAACGTTATTTAACGTTGTTGTGTGCTTTTAGCTATTTGTTCTTTAAGCATAAGAATACTAGCGCGTTGTTCTGGTGGTAACAGCGCTATTTGTTCGTCGGATAACTGTAACACTTGCATAATTAAGGCAGCCTGAAACAAAAAGTATAGATAAAGGAAATGTTGGGTTTCACAAATATTACTTATTTTATTACAAACTTTAAGCCGTACCTTCTCTTGGTCAGAAGCACCTGAGGGTATACCCTGTATAGTTCTTGCTTGAGCCATACTTGGCATTCCTGGGGGCATTTGGGCTGGTGACAAACACAATAATAATAAAATATTGTAAATCTCAACATTTATATTGTATAGCTATAAAATTAAGAACTAAATGTGAAATTCATATTACATATAGAAACAAATACAATTTAACGTCTATGTATAATGAATGTTTGTATTTGTTGGGAATAAGTGATAAACTATAAGATCCTAAATATCTCGAGAAACATAATACTATTGATCAACAATTCATACTTTTTTAAAAATAATATTGTTACATAATAGTGAATTATGATTTTTTTTTACTGGCAATACTTACGTGGCATCTTAGTTTGCGTGCGCGGGTCCGATCGCACGCGAGGGTCTGAGTTGAACGGCATACTAGCGAGACGAGGATCACGGGGAAACGAACTGTTAATATAAAATATTTTATCATTATTATATATACATAATTTATGTTCAAATTATCTTTAAAAGCAATAATAAACATTATTTGATACTTTTTATTAGATTTAAATTTGACATATAATAAAAAAAGTCAAAGTAATGAGTGTAATATCATAAGTTAGTAACTTACTTATCATTAACATCCAGTGGTGGTCTTAAAAAATAACGATATTAATTAAAAATAGATAATATCTTTTATATCAGATATTAATACAAAAATATTAATATATATTTTTACCCTTCCACTATATACATATATTACTCATGTGCATTTAAAACTAAAAATTTATAAATAAAAATCATGTGAACCTATTCAATTTCTTATAATGTTTTCCATAGTAAAATAATATAATTTATCTAATTAATACATATTTATCATGTACATATATAAAATTTTGCCATTCTGTTTATCTCTTGAATTTATTATCTGTTAAGATATATGTATATCCTTCTTATAAGAACTGTGCATTAAGATTTATGCCATAGACTTCGTAATAAAAAAAAACCATTAGGAATATGGAATAAAACATACTTATCCTGAACGGGCGGATGTACGGGCGGCGGCGCAGTGTGATGCAGACTGCGCATGTCTTGGTCTAATAGAGGAGGTCGAGAGTTGCGTAGATCGGTATCCATTTGTTGTGGTGGACGAGCTGAGAACATTATTTAATCTTTATTATCAAGACATTATTTATAGGAAGAAAATTATATCTGGAAACTATTATCCCTACTAATATTATAAACGCGAAACTTAGTCTGTCTGTCTATCTGTCTGTTACGCTTTCACGCCTAAACCACTGAACTAATTTTAATGAAATTTGGTACAGAGATACAGTTGACCTTAAGAAAGAACATAGGATAGTTTTTATCCCAGACTTTTGAAAGATTCTCTTGAATACGCGATATAACCGAACTCAACGCGGGCGAAGCTGTGGGCGGGAAGCTAGTATTATATAAGTTTTGATAATTTTATGAGAAATGTGTTTCCTATATTTTAAATAACTTCAATGTGCAGTAATAGAGATGGAATTTCTTAGCATACATAGATTCACAGTGTTGGTGCCTTGTCTATAGCGTTGCAGGGAGACGGCTGCAGTACCTGGGACTTGTGAATACTTTTGCTACCCAATTGCTCCCCAAGTCTAAGTTTAAGGGGCTCCTAACGCGCATTAAACACTCACCCCCACCGTCCAAAGTCCTCTGCCAACCTAATCAAATTTACATTGAACCTAGTAAGGCTGCCTTCGAAGTACGTTTTAAGAATGAATTGATGTGAGTTCTGGACAGGCCAAAGTAATTTAGTAGGTTGCAGAGAGATTTAGCTATTACCTCTCGCTCCTATTTTTACAGCGTTCAAATTCACAACGAACCTATTTCTAGTGAGTTCGTTAGTGAGCTTGTAATACCTCTTTACCTTGATAGCATGGCCTTTGGGGATTTTTGTCTCTCAAATAACCGTAAGCTCTATTAACACAAGCCCTTTAAAATTGGCGAATACAAAATATATGTGGTGTGGAACGCCGACGCATAAATATATTCTGGGATTTTATACTGTCTGTCATATACCTGTATATGACAGACAGTATAAAATAAATAATAACAGAATAAATAAAAACAGAAGTAAAGAAATTTATTTGTATTATTTACTTTGATATAATATACAGGGTGACTGGTGAATTACTATCAATATTTAAGGAGAATACTCAGTACATGATTCTCATTCGAATTATGTAAAAAAAAATAGGTACTTAATTTTTGACCAAATTTCCGTATAAATAAATAAAGTGTGGACACGTTCCAAGTGTTCCAAGTGTGGACGCGCGCGGCGACGTGCTGATACAACAACACGCCGCCGCGCGCGTATGTGTGTGTGTGTGTATACCTAATCTGTAGGGTGTTCATACGATGCGTAATTAATTACATAACTTTTGGTTAACTTTACTTAGAAGTTTATTAATATTTATGTTATATTAATTTTTATTTTGTCATATATGATCGTCAAATATCACGTCCTCAAATATCGATAGTAATTCACCAGTCACCCTGTATATCCATTTTTTTTTTTATTTGTGCTAAGGCTTCATTCGCACTGGAGTATTCATAATTATAGTCCAATCGGTAGCTTGAAGGGTAGAATAAGGCTTGACGGTTGATTTTATAGCCATAGTGCTTTCTCTCACAAAATCTATTGATTGCTCCAGTATTGTTTTTCTTTTGAGCTCTGGCTACAAAATGACTAATCGATCTATACTATTAGCTCATACTTACGAACATATTGATTCTGGGTCGGAGGTGGATTAGACAATAGAGGTGGTTGTTGAACTGAAATACATAAAAAAATATTAAGTCTGCTATCAATATTGTTAACTACAAGCTATAGAGAATTTGTTAATATATTACCGGGAGGTGGTGGATTCGGCATATATACATTGGAGACGGGTGGCTTATCACCTGGTTGTAAAACTGGAGGAACAGCATTGCTGGGATGCAACATACTCTATAATAAATAATAATATATATATAAAAAATATACTAGTTAAAACATGTTAACTATAATAGTAACAGGAGATTTAATATTGTTAACTATTTTGATGCTAACTGCAGATTAAAAATTTAATATGAGCTCATGATTCGTATAATCTGTTATGATTTGCACAAATCCCTACTAATATTATAAATGCGAAAGTAACTCTGTCTGTCAGTCTGTTACGCTTTTACGCCTAAACCACTGTACTGATTTTAATGAAATTTGGTACAGAGATAGAGTTGACCTTGAGAAAGAACATAAGATAGTTTTAAAGCCAGACTTTTGAAAGGTTCTCTTGGAAACGCGATATAACCGAACTCCACGCGGGCGAAGCTGCGGGCGGAAAGCTAGTGACATAAAATGAAGAAATGTTGAAAGTTAAGTATTGGGAAATTTTTATCATAATTCATTCAGATTATTTTATATCAAAGAATATCAAATCAACATACACCCAAACAAATTTTTTCATTATATAAATTTTTTATGTATTGAAACTAAATACAGTAGAAACTCGATTAGCCGGCCCTCAGTTATACGGATTCGCGATTATCCGGACTACATACTTACAAGTCGAATTCTTGCAAGCATGAACGTATCAGAACTTGCATTAAACCGCCTGCGCGATAGCTAACCCGCAAATTTTGTTAATATTATTAGTTGTTAGTCTACTTATAAATACATATTAAAAATGTCAAAGCGTAAGAGAGTGGTGTTATCGCTTAAAGACAAAATAAATATTATTGATTCATTGAAAAAAGGAGAAATCGGTTGTAAGTTAGCTAAAAAGTATGGTGTAGGTACATCCACGATAAGTGATATTAAGAAAAATACCGATTCAATCTTGTTGTACATCTGCAAATTAGATAGTGACGGGAGTAAACATCGGAAAGTGATGAAGAAACCGAAAAATGAAGTTTTAGAAGACGCTTTGTATAATTGGTTTCTACAGAAACGATCAACGGGGCAAAAGATATCTGGTCCTTTGCTATGTGAAAAAGCGTTACAGTTAAATAAAAAAATAGGTGGCGATAAATCATTTGTTGCAAGTAACGGGTGGTTGTATAGATTTAAATCTCGTCATGGAATTCGTGTATTGAAAATACAAGGTGAAAAAATATCAGCTAATGTCGATGCAGCAAACTCTTTTAAAGATTTAAAGAAGAATTTGGATGAAAATAACTATGAATTGGATTTTGTTTATAATGCTGATGAATCCGGATTAAACAGGAAGTCATTATCATCAAAATCTTTAGCTTCTAGACGAGAATTCAGCTCCAGGATATAAAAGTAGCTAAGAGCATTTAACATTATTAGTTTGCGCTAACGCTACAGGCATACGAACATAAAATACCTTTGCTTCCCATAAGAAAATAAAAAAATTAAGAGACAGTGGCTTACGTCAAATGACAATTACAAAATATTTTAAACCAAATTAAACTGATTATTTTATTATGTATGAATATGTAATCTAAGTACCTAAATGTATTCTTTAATTATTTATTAATATACATTGATTTTCGTTGATATGTATTTGTTTTTTTTTTATATAAACATATAATATTATGTTCTACCTATGCAAAAAACCTGGTTTTCTTCATACATTCGATTATCCGAATGCCTATTGATAACAATTAGTCTGATTACTCAAGTTTCTACTGCATATGTGAAATAGTAGCAATTATATTTTATTAAAATTCTGTGACTGTTTTTACTCACAACAGCTGTGATGGGGTCCACAATCCTCATTATGACTTGTGCTTGCAACAAAGCATACGCAAGTTGAGGATTCTGTAGCAACATATTCCTGGCTTCTGTTGGATTGTTCTAGAAGCAGAAAATTTGGAAATGTTTTATTGGAGTAAACAATGACTATAGAAATGATCATTTATCTAGTATAATATGGGATTTATTATGCAAGAGTGTTATAGTGACAGTTTATTAAATAATAAGAAAATTAGAATAACTTCTATGTAAAATAGTAAATTCTACAAGGTTCTGACACATCAGTTTTGTGTCAACAGACTTTTTCATTTTATATTTCCTTTAGAGTATTGTGTCACTATTTGTTCACCCTTCATACAATATAGACAAACAAAATCGTTGTAGTTTAGATTTAAAATTAAGTTATTTGAATTTTGGTTTATTGCACCCACCAATACTCAAAATCGTAATTAATATATTAATAAAATTCATATTAGTACCTGGATACATAATTTCATTTGTTTCATGAGTTCAAACATTTGTTCAGGTGGTAAAGTAGCAACGGCTTTACTAATAGCCTCAGGAGCTTTCTCTGGATCCACAGGATCTCCATATGGGTTTTCAACCTTAAACAGACATAAGTCTTTAACTATAAACACATATAAACAAATAAACCATTGGTAAACACATAACTTTCTGTTAGGTATACCTGTGGCCCCTGCATTAATGCCTGCATTTCCATTCTAGATTTTTCAGTACAAGCATTGTCAACCCTGAGCGATCTACCGCCAATTTCATATCCGTTTAGATTTCTCATAGCACTGAGAGCAGTTTCCTGATCTTTATATTCACAGAAACCATAACCTTTTGGTTTACCAGTTTCTCTATCAAACACTAGTTTGAAGGATAACACAGGACCAACTTCACTAAATATATCTTTTAATTTCTCTTCCGTTGCTTCGTAAGGTATATTTCCCACTGAAAAGGAAACAATATCATGTTATTATTAACACATTAACTTGAACCTACAATATTACACACTCTTCTATAAAATCAACTTACCAAAAACAGATCTCATGGATTTATCCATGATACTCTGTTCTTCTTTTTCCTTGCTTTTATCCATTTTGGGTTAGAGCTTAAAATACTTTACGTAGGTACTAAAAATCCTTACACAGGCTTTGCAATTGCTTATTGCGGCTTGGGGCCTAAATTGTTTGTCTGTCAAGTGTCAATACACAAATGACAACTGTAAAGTCATAATTAGCCAAACGACGAATTTCTATTAAGTTTATTCAAATATTTATCTGAACGAATGAAAGAATTTGAAAATACTATCTTTATCTCAAGTCGAGAAAATAGAGAGTAAATAGAAACACTGATAAAAAACAAGTTAAGTCGTAAAAATGAACACGAAGTTAACATTTAAAAGAAGTTGGAACATTTATTCACATAGTCATAAGGAGATCACAAGTCGTATAATTTCAGCATTTTGTATATTGTAGGTTTGTACAGTGCAGATACTGGTTTTGTGAATATTACAGAAAAAGCTACAATACCTACACAAAGATACATAGTATGGAGCCTTTTGAATTATCCAAATATAAAAGAAATACGTGTTTATAAAAATCGCTTCAAATAGGGAGGAAAATTGAAAATGTCATTTATTCAATTGCATTTTACTATTTTACATTTATTTTTGTATTAAGTATGATTAACAAATTACCATTACTCTATCACGATTATTATTACTTATTTTAAGACTAATCCATCTTGCCATTATTAAAAACAACTTTTTAAAATTTATTATCTGTTAACAATTGAGATATTCCTATCTGAAACCAAAATCATTAAATGCGTTGTCTAGTGTTCTCGCATTAGTAAGGAAATTTAATAAAATTTATATATTTTAAATAGATATTAAATAAATTACACTTGAATTTAAGCCTGTGAGTGTATTGTTGGAAGAATTCCTTTTATAAGTGAATTTATAATATGATCATATCCTGATTTTCTTTGTTGTAAATCATTTCTCGGGTTTAAAGGATCCTTATTCTGAAAATAGATATTGATTGTTTTTACGGTGAAGTGTTGAAAAATAATTAGGGATGATATCACATTAATTATTTTGAAAGGTGAATTGTAAATTGTGCGAGATTCATTGAAATTCGCGTAATGAATCTTGATAATTCCTCTAGAGAAAATTCGGAAGCTTTAGATACAATTGGTACTGTGAGCCCGAGAGAAAAATACCACGGTATGAGGGAGAAGAAATTATCAGCTGCATCCTTGACGAATACAGAAGGAGCGCGGCCAAAAGTGGTGACGGTGAAACATCCAGAATCAAACAAGCCAAAACCAACCGCCCGAAAAAACAAGCCCATCCAAGCCGACCTAGACGTCGTTAGAGAATTTATAAGATGCAGAGATGAAGGTGTTAAAAGACTTGATCTCAGTAAATCATCTATAACATCTTTACCTCCTAATGTGAGAGATTTGACACATCTTGTTGAGTTTTATTTGTATGGAAATAAACTAGTAGCTCTTCCTGCCGAGTTTGGTTGTTTAACCAATCTACAGACCCTAGCACTTAATGAAAATTCCCTGACAAGTTTGCCTGACTCACTGGCTCATTTAAGATCATTAAAAGTATTAGATCTCCGACACAATAAATTAAGTGATATTCCTGAAGTTGTCTACAAATTAACATCACTGACAACATTATTTTTACGCTTCAATCGAATAAGAGTAGTTGGTGATGGCATAGCTAATCTTACAAATCTAACTATGTTGAGCTTAAGAGAAAATAAAATAAAGGAACTCTCTTCTGGCATCGGAAAACTTGTAAACTTGGTTACTTTTGATGTTTCCCATAATCATTTAGAGCATTTACCGCAAGAGATAGGTAATTGTGTTAATTTATCTACATTAGATTTGCAGCACAATGAGTTGTTAGACATTCCAGATACAATTGGCAACTTACAAGCGCTAAATCGTATTGGCTTGAGATATAATAGACTCAATGCTATACCAGCTTCTTTAAGCAACTGTAAACATATGGATGAATTTAATGTAGAAGGGAACTCAATATCTCAACTTCCAGATGGACTACTGTGTAGTCTGACTGAGCTTACAAGTCTTACACTATCCCGAAATTCATTTATGAGTTACCCTAGTGGAGGGCCAGCACAATTTACAAGTGTTTCATCTATAAATCTAGAACACAATCAAATAGATAAAATACCTTATGGAATATTTTCAAGGGCAAAAAATTTAACCAAATTGATAATGAAAGAAAATTTGTTGACATCCCTTCCACTGGACATTGGAACATGGACAAACATGGTGGAACTTAATCTGGGTACAAACCAACTTGTTAAACTACCTGATGATATACAAAGCTTAATTAACTTAGAAGTGCTGATCCTATCAAACAATCTTCTTAAGAGGATCCCACCAAGCATTGGCAACTTGAGAAAGTTAAGAGTGTTGGATTTAGAAGAAAACAAGATTGAAATCCTTCCGAATGAAATAGGATTTTTGCAGGAATTGAAAAAACTGATTGTTCAATCTAATCAATTGACATCACTGCCGCGGTCAATCGGTCATCTGATAAATCTCACATATCTTAGTGTTGGTGAAAATAACTTGCAATATTTACCTGAAGAGATAGGCACACTTGAGAATTTAGAATCGCTGTACCTCAATGATAATCCTAATTTATGCAATCTGCCATTTGAATTAGCTCTATGTGTTAGCTTACAAATTATGAGTATTGAGAATTGTCCTTTGACCTCTCTCCCACCAGATGTTGTATCTTCAGGGCCGTCTTTGGTGATCCAATATCTTAAATCACAAGGGCCTTATAGATCCATGTGATATGAGGTTAATGATTATCACACTGCATTGGCAGGTGATAACATTTAAAGTCAAACAAGTAATGCTCCTATTAATTAAATGTTTGATGTATAATCCAGTGGTTCTTATAAAGAAAATATTGAGATGTGTTCCTTTATATACATAATTTTAAGTTGTCTTATATATACACAAATCAAATGTAAGGATATAAAAACGTTGTGCTAAATTTATGTTGTTAAAAGTAACAATGCTTTGTTTCATGCTTTCATTTTATAACATACATTTTCCATATTTCAATTAGTATTGTATTAAATGCCCAAAATACAAGGCGTAAGATAAAATTGTTTTTAATTCTAATAATAAATTAAGATTTTTAGTATTAATTGTAATCATTGCTGTATATAATGTATAATTGTGAGCTACAAGTTTGTAGATTAGTTTATTGAACTGCAATCCTCTATTGAAAACAATTTATGTGTATATAAAAGTTACACAAGATCTTCTAAAACTATAGAGGCCAAATTGAAATATATGTTAAAACATAACATGATAATTATATTTTCATACTTCTATCATAAGCTTGTTTTACTATATTTGTATAAATTTGATGCTTTTTTAAGCAATTTATAGGATTGTTGATTGACACTTTCATGACAGTTTTGATTATTTTATTGATATAAATGTTAGCTTAAAATTAAACTGTTACGTTTACCATGAGTTTCCCTTGTCAAACTAAACAGATGGTTTGAAGTATTATGCCCAAATCTTTTCACGTGAATGTGTCACCATAGGTGTGTAAAGTGTAAACGAAATACTAGAACGTCCGTTTAGATTGACGATGACTGGTAGTAAGTACTATACCAGTTAATTTGAGATATTAAAATAGCATAGTTAGCGTCTTGTTTTTAAAAAAGAATATGACCCATGTCGTCACAAAGATCTCAAAATATATGGGCAGTATTTGACATCATTAAGTATTACTTTTGTAATAATGTTTTGTGTCGTATGCGTGCACAAATATTTATCAATTGAATTTTTTACGACTTCGATTTTATTGTAAGACGTAATTTTAAGTTGTCTCATATGAATTCAAATTCAGGACATAAGCTGAATTAATGTACTTTGTAAACATTTAGTTCGATTGACACATTATTTCTACGTGTTATTTAAGTATGTATTTTGTCCTAAATGATGCATTTATAGATTTTTTTAAATGTAATTTCGCTTTTAATATTCCAGTCACATTAATTTGGTGTACACATGAAAAATTGTCGAAAGTGTATGAAGGACTAGTCATTTTGTTCTATATAGTTTGCCTAAAATAAAATGTGGTCGGTGTGATGTCAGTGTTTTACATATAATGCCAATTGTTCTACTAGTATAAGGTATGAAAGACTTCCAAGTGTTGATTTACAAACGTTTTGCTAACTGTGGACACACTTACAGTATTGTATATGCATCAAATTTACAATTAAAGAGTATGTACTTTCAGATTTATTTTATCCAAATATAAATAATTTCAAAGCTCAATAGAATGCTGCCGTATGAGTAAAATTTAGTTGATAGTTTGTATTCTATGTGATGGTATTTGTAGTTTTTAATTAATAATCTGTCCACGTGACTCCAATTGTCCAAGATGAATGCAGTAACTAAAAAACTGTTTGGCCGATGGAATTAAACAGTCATAATATGTTCTTTATATTTTGTCTTATCAGTGTATATCTTGATGTTAGAATTTGAATCGGCATATATGGTTATTTGAAATTAATATTAGTATAGTTATATACAGCACTTGAAACAAAACAGAATATCGTTTAAATGTTTTAAAAAAATATTATCTTTTCAATCCATGTGTATGACTATAATGTTTAAATGGCATGTGTTACATGAAATAAATTGAAATTATTTAAATATTGTTTCATTTAAAATGACGGATTTATAAAATAAAAGAAAAACTCTTTATAATTCAATAATTTATAAAGTGCAGTACATATTACAATAAGGTTTTATTTGTAAATTGCGCCATTTGTTCTTATTACATAAATAATTAAAGTTTATATACACATTCACTCCAAGCATCTCCTGTAACTCCAAAGCAGTCTATAAAATATTCGAGTAATATCGATGCGGTATAATCACACTAAATGCCTTGTCATCTTAAGCTATTATTTTTTTTTTCACATACAAAAATATTTGACCTAAAAACGACTATAAAACACGTTTTATAAATCACACGTCCACTTCACGAGTCTTAAACAAAATCAAATATACCACAAAACACAATAATCGTGACAAAGCTTCCTCATTCGAGTATCGCAGTTGTTTTAATACATTATTTATAAACTTAGTAAGTGACTAACTCAAACAGTTATATAAAAAAGATTCTTGCCAACTCCTAAGAATAAAAATATCTATTCATTCTCAATGTAAATTATTACAATAAGTTTTTAAACATTAGGTAGCTCCTAGCTTAGGTCTACAAAACGTGTGCCTAAATCGATAAAATCTAGATCGTATGTCATGTATAAGAAGATCTATTATCAAATGCTGATGGTTACATAAATGCCTGTTAATATATCTTGCAACTAACCTGTCTAAACTATTGTTGTACACATAACTAGCTTCGTTACTAACCGTCAGTCAATAATTCACGTTGCATAAGAATATATTCCAAAAAACTTCAATATTGAAGATGTCATTATCATATAAAAAAATAATATAACTTCTCAAAATATTGTAACAGTAACAATCTGTTTCCAACCATATCAGCCTTTATATATAAAAAAAACTACATTGTAACTTATACCTATTTATAAATCTTTGGCATTTTCATTTGCTATAATGAGAAAATATATATAAATTATTCATAGTATTGTGATGTTTAAACATTGTTTGATACTTTGTTTCATCCTGGATTATATGGCACATTAAATAAAGGGAGACAATGAGATATATTAAGTCCGGTTTTGTAGTTGTTTATCATTATGGTATAGAAACATATTATTACTGTTTGTTTGAGATTCCTGCATAATATTTGACATATTGTCTTGGTGTGCCATATTTACATAATTAAACACTTCCTTTGGTGTCTCTTCTGAGGCTCTGGCCGTAACACTGCACGCACCGCTTCATCAAATACCTAAAAAAGTAAAATTTATTTCAAACATCACAAAAAATATATTCTAATAGGATTCAAAACTATAAAGTGTAATTTTGTGTAAAGACAATGCACTATTTTTATATTTGAATATAAATCCATCAGAATGTTTTACACTATACATACAATTACTTTACAAATTTTATAATTACCTTTATAAAGCTAGTAAATTTTCTAAAAAAAGCATTTTTTTTATAACTACCAGATATTTTGAGCTGTACTTAAAACAATCCATTATTATAAATTCTCCAAAGAGATGTGATTGAAACAACTTAATTTCCAAATACCTGCTTAAGGCCGCGCTGTGTCAAAGCCGAACACTCCATATACTTTACAGCTCTTATTTTATTCGCCAGTTTTTGTCCTTGTTCCCTCTTCAAAGGAGACATTCCTTGTTCTGACAAAAGACTAAGTGTCTCACGATCATCTCTTAAATCAATTTTTGTACCTGAAATAATTATAACTTAGTAAATTTTATGTCAACATGGTACTTGTATTCTGACTGGTAAGGGTATTTGAATGAAAATGAAAATGAATATTTTGTAGTTTCTGTTTAAAATTATTCCCAACATATGTGGGGTTCATCGCAATACTTTAATAACTTATAAAGTAATAACCATCATAAATTTATATTGTCCAACTAAAAAAATTATAGATTTATAATAGATACTGTATATAAGACATATCTAATAATGTATAGTAACTATGTATATTTATAAATAGTATAAGGCATTATTTTTTTACATTAGCTTCTTCATAATATTGGAAGAATACACTTCAAACAATACTTACCAACCAGGATAATAGGTGCATCAGGACAATGATGTTTTATCTCTGGATACCACTTTGAAGTTACGTTTTCATAAGATGAAGGACTAAAAGTGAATACTATATTATTGTAAAGCTCAATCTTGGAGTTTAGGACATTTATGAAGCTTATTCAGTAGCACAATATTGTATAGAGCAAAATTATTCATAAAGAAACTTTACCTGGTAACACTAAAACATATAAGGAAGACATCAGTTTGTGGGTAACTTAAGGGTCTTAGTCTATCATAATCTTCTTGGCCTGCTGTATCCCAGAGTCCTAGTGATACAGCCACTCCATCCACAACCATTGGTGCTGAATAATTATCAAATCTAAAAAAAAACACATTTTTATAACACATACTGAAAACTTAGTATATCTGTTTATATGTATCATCTAACTAGGATTTTACACAATTGTATATATACTATTTCCTGAAATTCTTATTAGGATTTTTTTTTAAAGAAAAGTAGACTTTATTGTAAAAATTCATATATGACAAATTTTGTGATTCTGTACTCACACTGTAGGCACATATTCACCAGGAAAACTATCAGTAGTGTAAGATATCAACATGCATGTTTTTCCAACTGTGCCATCGCCCACTACAACACATTTAATCGGTCTTCCTGACGACATCTAAAAGAAGTGTTCGTATTGATAAATAAAGTCAAGCCTATGACTCACGAAAAACCCAGAGTGGGTTATTAAAACAGAACTTATAGCGTTACCTTTGATGGATTATAATATATTTATTTATTTGTAAATAAAACACTTATATATTTTTTTCAGTAAAAGCACAATTTCTTATAAAGCGTTTTTCTATTTATACCAAAGTCCAAATCTAAAACTGAAAAAAAAACGCATTGAAAGATGAATATTTTGTTGCCATATATAAATCTCTACATCTTTTGTTTTTTCGATGGTGCTACAATTAATAAAAAGTTTATATGCAACTTAGAAGACCTTACTTAAAAAGTAACATAAGAGTATAAATAAACTAAACCCTATATAGAACTTTTAACATTATTTAAAATATTTTAACTAATACATCGTCAATAAACACAGAGTATAATATTATATGTTGTAGGTAGGTATCTAGCTATATATTGTACGTCTCATATCTCACTTTAACTTATAAACTCGCTTGCTGTGTTGTTTCTTGGTAGTTTGTAAATAGTTTATCTTGAGTTTCGATATTTTTTAGTCATTTCTTTTGCTATTTCCTGTATCAAAAGTGGCCAGTAATTTCTTTAAATGCTTTTTACAATTGTTATTATTTAATAATTGTTAGTTTATAAAGTTATTAAAACTTCAAATGTAAGTACAAGTGGGGTATCATTTATGACTCATATTATTGCTTTGTGTTACTTATTCAATTGTTTTGATAATTGGTAGATGAGTGAATCATGTGTGGAGACTCCTGAAGCACCGGCTTGGCTGTCTAAATTGGAAAGTCAAAGGGAAAAACTCAGTAAGGCTCGTCTTGGTCATGATAGCGGCGCCGGTGCATCCTGCAACTCGTGTGGTAAATTATTTTCGAAATGTATATACAAAAAATATTACTTAAATTTTTATTATCTATATTATATAGAAATGCCATTATTTGCTTTGTTTCTTATAAATAAGTGCAGTAAACTGCACTACAGTCAATAACTCATAAATTACCATGGGTTATCAATGAGTTCGTATTGATATTATAAGAATAAAATTTAATAGGGTATGTTTGTTAGATTGTAATAGGCATACTGATCTTTAATATACTGCGTAGTTACACACAATCTATTATTTTTTTTTATAATTTGTATTATGTATTTTACAGGATCGGGATGCCCGGGTCTTGATTTGCATTTCTGGCGTAAGGTCTGTCGAGCATGCCACTGCAGTAAAGACGTACATGACGTACAAGATGATGATCTATCAGGATGGGCACAGTTTGAACTACTTGGAACAGCTAAACCAAAAAAAGGAACATGTAATATATTAATGAGATCTAAGATTTTCGCGAGTTTTATTCATTTAAATGAAACAAATATTTTTCGGATTATACCACGCGACTCTATTTTTGTAAAAAACTAGATACTCCCGACGTTTCGTCTCCTATACAGCAACAGTAATCACAGGCAGACAAGATGATCTAGTATAATCCGAAAAATATTAGTTTTATTTAAATGTAATATCTTAATGCATAGTTTAATGCTAGTAATAATTATTATTGTTATAATTTCTAATGATGATAAACTGTTTACAGTGCCACTTATTAAAATTCGAGGGGTAACCGACAAACCAGTAAAACTCGACTGGGTACCTCCAAATGCTTCTACAGAATTGGTAATATTTTATTTTATATTTGTAGAAGTGATTGGTTAAATGTCCTAATATAAGTCTGATAAGATATTGCTATAAGCTATCATTGATCACCAAGCTGATAAGCTCAAAATAATAATGAAATATCAGAAATATGTTATCATATATGTATATTGACTAGTTACAAGAATTATGAAGGAGCAAATTCCAGTTATATCTTTTATATGCATTATTCTGCTGATATATACTAATGTATGCTTTAATTATGACATTATGACTACATATAATGTATAACTAAATGTATGTATTGATTTCATTATAGGTATCAGAATATATGTCATGTTTGGGTGAGTTAGCTCCGGTGTCGGGCTCGGAAGCAGCTAAAAAGCGTCGAGCTCAGCTTAGAACACAATTACCACCACATGATGTTGCTACTGCTGCAAGAACACATGCCTCTGAAGAGGAAAAGACAGAGCATACGGTATATATATTATATGTTTGGAATCTTAAATTAGTTATACGAATTATAACAATTTACCATCAACTCCTATATGTTAACTTTTAATTGTGATTCATAGCAAAGTCCATACATATAAAATATTTTAGACACAAATTGAGGTTCATTTATACATTATATCGTTACATATTGTCCTAAAAATATACTATAATCATATGTACTTATAATTTTTTCTCTTTACCAGGAATACATCATGCGTATTAAAGAAAATGTGGTTGGAATGGGTAATGTTGTTAGAGTGGCACCATTACAAAATGGGGAGGTTGTCTCTATAGAAAATGCAAAAACTCATACAACTACCAAGTCATATGCACTACCTTTAAAAATATCAAACATATCAAGGGGTGTTAAATATAACATAGTACCTAAAAATGCTTCAGATAAAAAGCTTGTATTAGACACACAAGGTAATGTTGTAAGCAGTGCTGCAAATTTACCAGATTATAAATCAAGTCCAGCCTTGAGCAAAGTTGTTAAAGACAGACTTAATGCTATGCACATTGAATCAGACAGAATCAAAAGTGCCGTAGAACATGGACCAGTTTATGATAAACTATTTAAAAATTTGAATGATTTGAATATGCAAGTTGCTAATGATGTATATCTTCAACCTATAAAACTCTTTAGAGATGAATATAACAGAAACCCACAATTTAAAGACGAAGTTAATGAGTTTGCCAGTAAATCCTTAGGAGCACAAATAATACCAGATGTATGGGCTGCAAATAATAATAATTTAATGGGCACAGCTAAATTGTTTGATAGCAGGATTCAGAAAGGCACTATTTTTGCACCTAATGGAGAAATATGGAGTTGGAAACATGAACCAACAAGCCCAGAACATAGTGGTACTATTTGTTCAACAATAATAAATCCTCAATATTCTACAAGTATGAAACCAATAAATCAGGTGGAACCACAACAGACAGCACCTTTAAGAGAATACTTAAGAACTCATTCAGAGGAAGATTTTCCTCCACCATTACCAAATTATAGTACATATCCTGGAGCTCTGCCTGTAAGTCCTCAAGATAATAAATTGAATAACTCATCTCCAAATCAATTTGATCCTATAGCAAATCCTGTCCAGATGGGTAATTATGCAGAGCAGATTGACCCAATTCTTACACAATTTGCTGATATGTCACTGAATCCAGCTGAAGTAGAGTTTAACAGAAAGTTATACAATGAAGGAGTACCATGTCAGAGATGTGAGAAACCAATGTTTGCTGGCGAAGTTGCTGTGAAAGCTGAAAGGGCGGGCCAAGAGGCAATATGGCATCCGCAATGTTTCACTTGTTGTAAATGTGGTGAACTACTCGCTGATCTAGTGTATTTCTACTATAAAGGAGAAATTTACTGTGCCAGAGATTTGGCGAATGTATTGGAGATTCCGCGTTGCGCTGGTTGCGATGAGTTAATATTCACACGTCCGTATACCGCAGCTGAAGGCAGAGCATTCCATGTTGAGCATTTTTGTTGCTATCATTGTGACGCACCGCTTGGCGGAAAGAAGTATGTGCCAGATGATAAAACAGGTCTGCCGATTTGTCTTACATGTTATGACCAGTATTATGCAGAGCGTTGTAAAGCCTGCGGTGGTATTATAGGGCCTGAACAGCAAGGAGTTTCTTGGAGCAAGACACATTGGCACGCAGAATGCTTCATTTGTTCAGGTCGAATGTGTGGTAAAAGCTTACTTAGCGGCAGATTTGTTGTTAAGCAGGATATGCCCTTTTGCAGTGTGCCTTGTGTACAAAGTAGAATCAAGTAAAATATATTTTTTCTGAATATAAATTTATATAATCATATATACCTACTTCTAGGCAATGATAAAAAATTATTATTTTTTTATAAAAGTTTTAAGAATATTGTGATGAAATATATTTTGATATTTAGTCTACATAAGTTATAAGATGTGTTATAAGAGCAAAAATCATGACATTTTGTGCTGAAAAGATAATATATGATTAATCTACTATATTCTATATATATAAATGTTGACATTGGCAAAATATTTCACAACTCCTGTTTGGATGGAGGCATAGCATAAATATATACTTTATTATATATATATTGTCAAGAATCAATAACTGATTTGATAAATTATATTTTATATAAAAATATATTTATATTTCTATATGCCTAAGTATATTATAGTCAAATATTTAATCAAAACAATTGCAAATTTGCGACCACATAATGAATTCCATTGCAATGACTGATTTTTGCTGTTTAAAATTTAAGTAATTAAGAATTTATTTATATACATTCCTATTTTAATGAGGTGTCAATTAATTGTTGATAAATTAAGAGTGATTTTATATGATGGATATATTAGTGATGTTTTCTAGGATGTGCCATTAGATATGAAATTTACACTGTTTGTGACAGAATAAACATATATTAAAATATATACATAACTGTAGTTTTTCTAATACTTTCTAGAATATTTATTATAAACAACTATTTACTGATTTTGTTTGGTAATATTAAGAGCTCTAGATAAATACATATCATGCTTTTTTAAACAAGAGTGAAACTACCTGGCATTTGATGAAAGATTATAAAATTTTGATTCTTTCATAAAATTAATACTAGTCTTATTATTTTTCAAGTAATCAAGGGTTTATCCAGAATATTTGCTTTATGTACGCTTATAGCTTTTTACTAAAACATTTTAAAGAACTTGTTTTATAGTAAATTTTAAAAAAGATCTCATAAAAAAAATATTTAAATAAAATATATTCTAAACAATTTCCATACCATTTGAAGGTATACTATGAAATAAGTAACAAATAAAACAAAAACAATAAGTCTTATTATATTTAATAATACAAACTTACATTATTTCAATTATGGTTTATCTATACATTAAAATAGATTAAAAGTATATAGTGCATAATTTTGTTAGATGGAACTGAAAAGCTTTACATAAATTAATATGGTTAATTAGTCTTGAGAAAATCTCCGAGGGATTCTTTCTTTAACTACAGATGGAAAGTAGTAATCACTTGTATTATATGACTACAACATTAGTATGCAAAACAATAATTAATATTATTGAGAATGGGAAATTAGGCTGATATTTTCAAATGTTCCAGATTACTTTTCAGTTTATTCAGATTTTCATGAACGGCTTCCTGTTTGTTCTCTAAAGCAGATATGTTACCGTCACATCTTTTAATTTCCTTATTAATATATTCCATCCTTTTGGAAACATTCTGTCTAGCCTCTTCTAAATCTTGTTTCACTAAAACCGGTCCAATAAGTTTAAAGACCTCCGAATCCTTCTTTAGTAAAGCTAGTTCTTCTTTAACAGCTTTGTTTTCATTAAGCTGACTATCCAATTGTTGTTTCAGAGCTACTGCCTTATGATATTCCTTTTTTAAATTATTGTAAATCTCGAATTCTTTTTGTAATTTCTTTTGTACCTCGTCAGCCATTTTACCACAATAAATGTTATTTTATAATAATAAATTTGTATTCAAGTCCAATATCACTTTAAATATAAAGTTACCTAAATAGAAATGTTTTCTAGCAGGATATCCACTGGGTAAAATTTTTGACAAATGACAATTTTGTTATTAAGTGAGGTTATGTTATAGAATATATAAGATTCAATATCGTAGTCAAATAAAAATAAGTTATTCTTGTTTAATGAAATAAAAAAAAATATTAACATATTATATAGTTCCTAATAACGATTTACAAAATATCTATCTGCAATGCTATAATTTCATAAGTTCTCCAGCTATAAAACAAGCAAACAGTACCGTTTTAAAACAAGCCACCTAGAATTTATATATGTTTTTAGGTGTAAATTTTTAATACATATATGTATTTATTTTTAGGCCAATCTATTTTACTCCGAAGGTCTTGAGAAAAAAAAAATTGGTGATTGATTTACGGTGTTGGCATCCCATGTCCAAGTGACTATATTTTTAAATTTCATTATCGCTCTCAATACATCGCACCTCCGCTCAAATAGTGTCATAAGTCAAAAATCCCAACTTTCGAATAAAACGCGTTTGAAGTTAATGCTAACTTTACTTTTCGGCTCATCACTCAAAAACTGTGAAAGTTACTGCAATATGATTTTAAGTAAGTTATAATGATATTTGACACTCAACAAAATGGTGTAATAGACTTTTGGAATATATTTAAAAAAAATAACGAATAACGGATGAAAAAAACGAATAATTTACGAAATATTGACATCTATGGATAAATAGTTGAACTATGGGCATGACATTATTTGAGATAAGATTTCGAAGTTTTCTGATTCCAATAGTGCAATAAAATTGAATTCAACTTTTTTTGAGTTGTGACACTATTTGAGCGGAGGTGCGACATATGTTATGGTAACTAAACACATTTTTAATTTTAGTTAGTAATGTTAAATGCATTATACATAGTACAATAATATGTAATTTTAAATTTTTTGGTCATTTTTTTATTGACAAAAGTACACTCTGTAATGTACATGCCTATTATTTAAGTTGATTAAATTTTATTCCAAAAACCAAAATTAATTAAAGGATAGATAGCTTCACCTTCGATACAGAATTTATAATTTCATGGCATTTCCCACTTTCACATATGCAAGATTTATGTTGTACTTATTATTAAAAAATTATTATTATCATTAAAATGTAGTTATTATTAAGTCTTCAAGAAGTATAAAAGTAAAAAAATACAGCTAGGTACGGTGATTTTTGATATTTTTACATTTTATTGGAGAGTACCTATTCTAAAAATAAATAATAATTCGATCAGCTGTCACAGTTTCATAACAGGTTTAATTATAATTTCTCCCCATATTCTAAAGTCCACATGTAATTTGGATCTTTGCTATCTTTGGCTTCTTTTTCTATTTGATTCGTTCTTTTCAAAACTTTCTGTACACTTTTGTAGAGATCTTTATTTTTCATAATAGGTTCGTAATTTATCAACTTTTCAGATCTCGATTTTAAATTACCAGATTTTCCAAATCTCTCTCTAACAAATTTTTCATACAAGTCTTCGCCACTGTCGAAATAGTTGAAATATCCCTTATTTTTCTTTGGGGGTTCTTCTGATGAATCCTCATCTTTAGGGTAGGAGTAAAATTTATTAAAATTGTCTTTGTTTTTTCCTTCATAGTTCGAGTTTTCATTATGTTCTTCTTCCTCTTCATCATCTTCCTCTTCTTCTGTATTTTCGGATTTTCTTTTTTGATCTTTGTCATCGTCTTCTGCCTCCTCACGAGTATATGCTAATATATCTTTAGGCAGTTTAATTTCAGGTAATTTAATAGTTAAATCGCTGAACTTGATATTTAAGTCTTTATCATACTCATGATTATCTGGAGTCAATATGTCTAAAGTCCCTTCTTCTTTGTTATTTTTATGAGATGGAGGTTCCTCCGTACTATCACTTTCGATATTTGTATGCTTATAGTCTTCTGGTATTCTTTCGAATTGTGATTTAACGTCTTCTTTTAATGTTTTAGATGTTGAAAGTAAATCTTTTACACCTGCATTCTTCAAATTGTTTTTACTATATTCTTCTCTTGGTTCAATTTCTCCTCTTTCTCTATATTCTTTGCTTTCTTCCTCGCTTTGAGAAGTATTGTCTTCGTTATTAAGTTCTATAACAGGTTTAATTTCATCGTCATTTATCTTGACTTGTTTTGCGTTTGTATAGTTGACAATTGAAGCGCTTTTTATATTTGTTAATGTATCAGGTTTTTCTAAGGTTGTTTGTGAATCTGGTAAAATCTCTGCTGAAGTATCCTTAATATCACTGATTTTATCATTAACATTTTCATAACTGAAATCCTCAGCTTTTTGTTCCTTCATTGAGTTATTAATGTTCTTGTTCAAACCCAATTCTGCTTTATCAATCCCTTGTGTTTTTTCAAATTCATCAAATTTCTCAATACTTTCGGAATTATTTTCATTTGAATTTTTATCTTCTTCGCTGTTACGATCATTTTTCAGTCTATCACTGCTTAACAAATCCTTACTTGTAGGTAAAACCTTTTCAAAGGATTCTGTATCATCAAGCTGCTCTCTTTCTTTGTGTATTTTGCTATCTCTCACTTTGTGTTCGTCACTTTGACCTAGATCCTCTTTTGTGCTATCGTATTCTCTGCTTTCGTCAATATCATAGCGATTCGTTTGACCTTTTTTATTTTGATCTATTTTATATGGTAGATTTTCAATACTTTCTCTATTGAGTGAAACATCACGTTCGTTACTTTCCTCATTTATATATTTTTTCGTGTCCTCCTTACTTTTGTCAATTTCGCTATTTAGTATATTTTTATTATTTTTATCAATAGTTTCATGACTTTCATTTATGTTTCTCTCCGATGCGTCCTTATTATCGTAGTCAGAACGCTCCCTGCTACTATCCTCAAGATTTTCAATACTATCGTATGGTTCGGTTTTTCTATTTCCCTCAAGGTTTTCTTCTGTAGAAATATCACGCTTTTCATCGTAATTATTGTTATCGTCTTTAGTATTTTTAGTTTCTTCGTTGTATTCTTTTTTTCCGTTGCCATTAGATTCATTACTATCAATATCATCGTGATTATAGTTTTTGTTACTATATTTTCGCTTATCTTGGTGAGGAAATCTTGGTTTATCTTGCAACAATATATCAATAGATGGCTTTATGTTTTCATGAAGGGTTTCAATATTAAAATCAGCTAAATCAGAATGCTTTATAAACTGGTTATTCTTTGGAGTCTCAGCTAATTCTTCTCTTTCAGTTTGGTGACCATTTAATTGAAATCTTTGTGGTCGCCTGTGATCGCTATTTTCGGAGTCAGATAAAAGTGATCTTTTCTTTCGTTTCAAGCTGTTTTTTGGGTGACCTTTTGTTTTATTCTTAGTAGTTGAGTCTATATTTTTATAGATATATTTTAGTATTTTGTCATTTTGTTTATTATTTAAAACTTTTTCTAAATTTTGATCGTCATATGTACAGTTATCCAAATTATCGTTAGTTTTAATATTATTACTATTTAGTTTTTGGTTTTCTTGGACTGTATCATTGTTATTTTCCACAATCTTCAACTCTGTATTTAAAGACAATTCCAGTTCTATATTTAAGGAGTCATTGGAAGTGCAATCTTCATTAGTAACATGTTCGACGGGCTTTGCATCTTCTATAGTTTGATTACAAACATGTGCATCTGTCATCTGGGAAACAATTCATATTTATTAGTTGATTGTCTAAATTAAAATCAGTAATAAAGGATTTATTCAAAATAAAAAACAAATATTATTCTATATCATATTTACTTTTTCTTATTTACAGTGTAAAAAATAACCCAGAAAACATAATTAGATTTATATTAACTAAAAATAAATAAAAAACTACAAATATTTTAACAAAATATTATTTGTGAGTGTCAAAATGAGTGTGTGTAAGATCTCATAGAAGTGATAGGAGGTGTATAATTTTTTTTGAGCCTCAAAGTGCATTAGACTAACCAAAGGTGTTTTATTCGTGGTGTAAATATTTACATTACATTCTAATACAATATTATGCAACATTTTCTTTAAATACAATTACTATACCTTATTACAATACGAATACGGATTTTCTTGTTAGGGCTAAACACATTTTTGCTTGGAGATGCTTAATTTAATTCATACTTTATTCATTGTATCTTCAGGTAATTAAAACTATTACCAAGAAAAAGATATTCGTATGTTTCAGTACCAACTAACTACATATAGATAATATAAAAGTAAACAATACAAATACCTAAATTTCTTTACCTGTCAATTTCATTGTTTTCACTAGGCAATATCTTATTTATCAAGAATAAGAATTTGTTTAAAGAATGATTTGTTAAAATATTGAAATTATATGTAATTGAAAGTATATATATAAAAAAAACTTCTAATTATAGTTAAACAAAAATATGGCAATTACACAAATGGCTTCAAAAGCCCGTATACTTAAAGTATTTACATTAATCAACACCTACTTATGCATAGCTATGGGACAATTATCGTGAGTTAAAATAGTGATTTTAAATATTTCCTAAAAATATTTAACTGCACGATTACTGTCTGATAAATTATAAACTATAAATAAATGTTAAAAATTATTGAAACGGCATACGGTTAAGTACAAAAATCTTGTTTTAAATTGACATGGTCCATAAAAATTGCTATTGTGCCCAACTAGGTCTACATAAATTATTAAACAGAACTATTTATCGTTTAAATCTATTGACTACAAGTGATATAATGTGCGACAAACAAACAATACTATTAACTACTGATGGTTTTATACTACAATACAAGTAAGGCTAAAACGAGACGTTAAAATGATTATTTACAGTGAAATAGCAAATAAAATGTTCGGTGTCGTTAAAGCCTTTATTAATCTAGTTTTTCTGTGAATTCTACTTCTTTCCGTGGAAGGAGTTGTACGAGAAGCTACTCACGTATTCCTTGGCGCCACCGAAAGGCGTGTGTTCAGCCCACTTGCTGAAGTCCATCGATGGAATTATTCCACTTCTACATGGCACTCTTGGATTGCTAAATAATAATAAAAATATGTTACTTCTATATCCTTTCGCCTTTTTGTACATTTCAATTTATTATTATTCTTTTTTTTTCGTGTAAAATTTACTGTTTGTGATGTACAATAAAGTATATTCTATCTATCTATCTATATGTGCAATGTTGCAACCAAATTGCAATTTCGTCAAATATTTGTAAATATTATTATAATAATTATAGAAGTGAAAAGAGAGGTTGTTTAATTTAAAAATTAGGTAAGATTTTGCAGCATTTTTCGCTACAATTTTTTTTTATATTGTCCATTACTAATGTTTCGTATGGCTTTTGGATATGGATATGGGAATACACCGTCCCTGCTAATATTATAAAAGCGAAAGTAACTCTGTCTGTCTGTCTATTACGCTGTCACGCCGAAACCACTGAACTGATTTTAATGAAATTTTGTACGGAGGTAGAATAGACCTTGAGAAAGAACATAGGATAGTTATCCCAGACTTTTGAAAGGTTCTCTTGGAAACGCGATATAACCGATTTTCATGCGGGCGAAGCTGCGGGCGGAAAGCTGTATCTGTATCAGCCTATCAGCGCCCACTGCTGAGCAAGGCCTCTTTCTTACATGGAGAAGGTTCGAGCATTAATCACCACGCTTGCTCAAGACGGGTTGGTGATTTCAAACTTATAATTGTGGAACTATAAGTCCAGGTTTCCTCACGATGTTTTCCTTCACCGTATGTCAGTGATGTCTAAATACTCTCAGAAAGTACATATGACTCCGAAAAATCACATTGGTACTTGCCAAGGTTTGAACCCGCGCCCTCGGCAACGAGAGGCGGGCCCCTTAACCACTAGGCCACCACTGACTTAAGGGCGGAAAGCTAGTTCTATATAATTAAAATTGCTACCAGGCTGGAATTTCGTCAAATATATATAGTATTAGATTATAATAATTAGAGAAGTGAAAGGACAGGATCTTTAATTTAAAAATTAAGAAGATTTTACAGCATTTTTCGCAATTGATTTTTGGATATTTTCCATAAAATTTCTCATGGCACTTATATGGTGCTTTCGTATAAGGTTTCTCCAAGTTAAAGTTACTTACAGCTCATGATCAGGCAGAACCATTGGATACAGTTGTACCGTGTCAATGATGTCTGTATTGTCACATATGATACGCGCCAGACGTGCTTTTCTTATTTCAACTAACTGTTCCGGGGTGAACGATGACGGTTGATTTGGTAACTCGAACCTGTAAGAATATAATAATAATTAATTTAATTCTTAAGTAAGTAATACTATTATAATATACATCATTAAAAAATCTAACAATGGGTATTAATGTTTCTCCAAGATTTAAATGGAACCATATTTTTCTATTTTAAGATCGCACCATTTTTCTAATTTAAAAAGTATTTGAAAATAATTTTATCTTTAAATAAATGACTAATACAAATAGTCAAACATTGTGAAATTGTCTTTCAAAATATGAAGAATTATATACATGTTCATAAAGTTCTATATATCTATAAATCTTACCAGAATCTATCACCTCTTCGTGAATACGAAAACTGTGTAGCAATTATGCAAGCGAATGTCGGTCCTAACATGGACCCTGGTAGAGGTCTCTCTGAAACTCCACCGGACCACAAATCAACATCAACTGGATGTTCAAAGATCGATTCGTATTTCCGAATAGTTTCATTAGCCATAGATCCGAATAAATCTTGGAAGGAATCCGCCCCGGATAATCCACAGAACTTTCTGAACTCCATGTATCCTGGAAGACCGAATTCTCTTCCTCTTTGCATGTTCAATGATACTAGATCCATTCCGAATCTTGCGCCTACTTTCTTGAATAGGTGGTTTGTTACTTCTTGAGTGATGGAATCGTCCATAGCTTGAGCCACTTGGTTCATTAGTCCCATAACATATTCATCGAGAACGCCAGCACGATATAAGTCATATGGTCTACGTATAAGGTCTGATAATCGTTTTGATGCTGTAATAAACAATATTCGTTATATCTTTATATATATAATTCTTCTGTGAGTGTGTATGTCACTGAACTTCTCTCGAACGACTGGACCGATTTTGATGAAATTTTTTGTGTGTGTTCAAAGGGATCTGGGAATGGTTTAGATTCACAATTTTGTCCGCTGGACAATGTTTTTTTAATTATTTTTTAATTTATTAGTAGGTGTTGATACAAACGTTTTTTTTTTTGACAACTAACTAATATGTCAATCATTCTGTCGCACTTCAAAACACGGAGATTTATGGCTTTAATAGGTAAACTCCAAAAATATAAATAAAAAACGTAACAGATATTTCTTGACTATAGGGCGATACGAAGTTCGCCGGGTCTTCTAGTATCTTTATAGAAAATTAGAAGTTTATGTCATGTAATGTTCTATGTACTTACCAATAAATTTATGGGCCTTAGACCATCTCTCAACAGCAGTAGGTAATAATGAATGACCGAATCTGTAAGCGGCGGCAGCGAATCCGGCTATTACATCGGGATTAACATTTTGATCATAGCCGTCCCAGTAGCCCTGGAAATTATATTTTTGTTACTAATTAACTCAATAAAACAAAAAAAAACTTTTTTTTAAAGTCTTAGTCATCATATACCTCTTTTTCAAGCACTAAACCGAATTTTTCCATAACGTCCTTCCCAAGAAGTATAGGCAAGAACTCGTTATATGTGATATGTTGTATTTCAGCGATATTAATTCTTCTTGCTTCTTGGAACAAAGTTTCGTCATCCCAATGCGGATTAACTAAAGCTAAAGCCTCAGCCACTCGATTGTGTTCACGAGCCATCAAAGTATGCATTACAGTGAGAACCAATTGTTCATTGACCCTAATCTCACCTGTAATATATAAAAAAATGTTTTAATTTTTGCAAGGACTTAGCAATTTATTCTTAAGTAACATTATCTCATTTGCACTACAGATTACAGTAGTCGTAAAAAATCTGTGCATAATAAATAAAATATAGACTATTTTTTATAATACCCACCGGCTTCAAAACAAAACATATTTTTGTTAGGTCTAGTGCAACCTTCATCGGGAATGTCAAGTTTAAGCGGCAAAAGATCTTTAAGTCCGTACTCTTTGAATACAGGATTCATACGAAGTAAACCACCGTATCCCGTACGCAACTTTCTGTAAAGTAATGATGAAAACAAAAATTTTATTTAAAAGTACCGGAGTTGTCCAAGTTTTTAATGTTTATATAAATTTTGTTTCTACGAAGAACTTGAATTTCTTAAGAATTTAGGTTAATATTCTTAACTTTATTGAGACAAAATAATTATATTTTTTTGAGGAAGATCCAAAAAACGAAACTCAAGATTTAAATACAATAATATCAAATGAAAAACTTGAGAGGAGATTAGTACTAGTCGGGAATGTAAAACTCATAAAATGTGTACGCTCATCACAATATTTTTTTTACCTTCAAGACAGTGTATAAATATTAAAAGTCGCTACAAGTCAACTAAAATTTTTCGTGCAAATAAAAATCTACCAGGAGTATAATGTTATATTTAAAAATATTATTATTTAATAATACGGAATCAATGATTCCTAGTATTTGTTTTACCTTGAGAATTTTTCAGTGACTCCATACACAGTGTTACCGTCAATGGCTCCAGTCAGAGTATTGAAAGGCACCCTTGAACCTTAAAATGATAAAAAATTATATGATAATGAGTATTCCTTTCAAATTATGAAGATATTGAGATTGTTGCATATATCGCGAACCATTTGTAGTATTAGGAACAAATAATTTTAGTTATTACGTAGGGATAAGAACTTTTGTCCTTATTTTAAAGTAAGAATTTTTAATTAATTATGATAATTAATTCTTAGACTTCGACTAACATCAAAACCTTTTCTTAAATTCATATCAATTCTTATGAGATAAATCTCAAATATAATATCAAACAACAAAATGAAGATGCACTTTTAAAATGAGCCTTATTTCATAACCAAATCAATTCAATTAAAGTGAATGTTCGCAAGCATGTGTCGTACTTGAATTACAATTTTCGTGTTATATTACGTAACATACGTAACGGAGTACTTTCGCCTCTCACTTGGCAGATGTGTAGGTCAAAAATGGGTCGAATACAAAATGTAATGACCGACGGAAATTACCATGACATAATGTTTTAAACTTATACCACAAAAAACTTTTTGGATAAAACCTTTTTTTGAAATTCAGTACGAGTATCCGAACTAACTAGCACAAACATACTTTAGCCGCCAAAATAAGTTTTGCAATCATTAAATGTAGAAGAAAAACTAAATGAAACTATAATTAACGATGATTGATTTTCATTTAAAAACTATTTACAACCATTTTGTTATAAACATAGTTAAACTTTAACCCAACACATTAATCATTTCGTCACATTTACTATAGTCATTGAGTACAAATAATTGGTATTGCAAAACAATGCGAGTGTCATATCGCCTGGTTTGACATGAAAACAACCGCAGGCTATCATCTATCGGGATTGTGGTGTGAAATTTTGTAATTGTACTAAAATACAGGTGTAAAATATTAATTATTACGGAACTCCATAAATTATAGAACATTTCAAAATGCTTATTAAATTCGCTTGTTTGTTGTGAAAGGCTAAAAAAATGTTAAGCGTTTTTACGTAATGTATTGGTAAGAAGCGAGATTTATTGATTTATATATGGAATAGAAAACATCGATGTATCGTTTGAACTATTCGAGTTTATAAAGCGTTATCGATTTTTTGTTTGTATTAAAATACAAAGCTGAGATTGCTTGAAAATATTTTTTTTTCTATAATAAGACAACTTATACATAGTTAAATAAATTAAATGAACATAATGTAAATTTGGATCTCCGAATAAAATCGTTTATAAAAATTTGTTATTAGGTATATCGCTAAGAAAGACGAATAAATAGTAAAAACAGGGCACTTTTTTAGATTTAGACTACACGCTAAATGACATAACTGCAGTTTTATATACTAGGTACAAACTGCAGTTTTATATACTAGGTACAAACTAGCTTTCCGCCCGCAGCTTCGCCTGCGTGGAGTTCGGTTATATCGCGTTTCCAAGAGAACTTTTCAAAAATCTCGGCTAAAAACTATCCTATGTTCTTTATCAAGGTCAACTCCATCTCTGTACCAAATTTTACTAAAATCAGTTCAGTGGTTTAGGCGTGAAAGCGTAACAGACAGACAGAGTTACTTTCGCATATATAATATTAGTAGGGGTGGTAGTTTAAAGGAACACAAATTCCACTACAACATAATAAAGCATTAATAATATATGGAAATAAGTGTTCATACCCAGTCTGCAGCCGGGTCGTGGTGATGGGAAGCCTCTGACGAAGTCTATACATTTAACGCCGAACAGTCTGTAGAAGTAATCGTCGTCAGGGATGCGGATCTCGTTGCAGTACGGATGTTTGAGGTGAGGCGGACGCTTACAGCATTCCTCTGGATCGTTGCGGTGGATCGGATCTGTGGATGTTTTATATGTTTACAAAAATGATTTGAAGGGGGAGGATTTTTTTGAGTAAATTGTTTGAAAAGGGGGTGAAGCGGACGCTTATAGCACTTCTTTGGATCATTGCGATGGATCGGATTTATGGATCACACAATGATGTCTAAGATTTTAACGAGTTTTATTCATTCAAATGAAACTAATATTTGTTCGGATTATACTAAGAGACTTTATATTTTGTAATTTTTTTTTTAGGTTTTTACAAAAATAATATCGCGTAGTATAATCCGAAAAATATAAGTTTCATTTAAATGGATCTGTGGATGTTTAATTTGTTTAACTACTAAAGATTTTTGTGGTTAAAATGCTTTGGAGGGGGGCTATTTTATTTTTTGAGTAAATTAATTGAAAAGAAGCTGGAAAAATTTGGATTTTATATATAGCCTATAGGAAAACCTAGTAGGTACTTACAAATTATTCAGGGCTTTAGAACTAACGAATTAACGTGTATGTAGTTAAAGTTTTGTTAGTTGTCCAGGAAAAAAATATAGTCATTATTTTGGCGTAGCTGTATCAACAACCAATTGTAATTTTGACCAATATATGTATATAAAAAGATAAGTATTTTGAAAAGACTGATGTAACGACTCCTGATAAACGAGTGTGAAAAATCACAAAGGATTTAAGACTATGTATTAGCATTGAATTAAATATATTAATAATTAACACAAAATAATACCATGCTGAAAAGAAGCTTATAGTATATTAACAAAGTTCATTTTTGCTTCTTCATAATTTGTATCGGTTTAAAATTGTTAGCATCGAATTTTATTTATAAACAATTATCACAAGATAATACCATGCTGAAAGGAAGCTTATATGTATATAATAAAGTTCATTTTTGCCTGTTTGTATGACTCACCAAGTGGAGTGCTTAACACAAACCAATGTTATGCTGAAAGCAAGCTTATATGTGTAAAATAAAGTTCATTTTTGCTTGTGACTCACCTAGTGGAGTACCAGTGAGTGTGTAGTCGTGATCCATGAATTGCCCCCATGCTATCACCATCACAGTGCCAGCGTGATCATGAAACCCTTCATCGGGATGCATAGTACGAGACACTACACGGGATAAAGGAAGGTCCCGTCCCGTATGAGATATACGGGGAGCGTTGATGCCATCAGAAAATAATGGACCGATAAGCCTTAAAATTTGAAACATATTATGAGGGTAGAAATATTTTGTCGCGTGTTGATGTCTTTTGTATGTCAAATTGTATTATTGCGTTTAGATAGAATATTAATTGTGGTATAAACTTTTATTATTTACCTTTCATGGAAGGTTATGGGTTCGAAACTAAATGTAAATAATAGTGAGACAACTTAGTAATATAAAAAAATATTTTAATAGAATGAAAGAATATTACCCGGAAAAGTATGTACCTATATACATAGTATATATATTCCTACATGTATGCTAAGATCGATAAAGAAATCAAAGCATCTACATAGTTGTATATTCGTAACTATAATTATTATTTTCAATACATTCAATGATACAAATATAACAAAAAAAAACCATTTTTTTATCAATTACCTTTGGAAAGGCGCCATAGTAGCGCCCCACGTAGGATGCACGAGGTTGTTACACAAGCCATCGAGCCTCCTGTACTTCCCAGCTCGACATTCTACGTGAGAGAACACGGGCGGGCAAACCTCACGTATCAATGTACGAGACGTATCTATTAATGGTAGACCTTTCTCTATTTCTTCATATGTTAGCCCATATCTGTTCAAGAAACAAATTTTCTATACATTAAATATATTTACACACACACACAAATACACACACACACATATATATAGAGTATTTCATTATAAGATGAAAATTAATTACATATTTTGTAATCAAAATAGGCGGGATTCGTTCGCCACGGATGGAAGGTTCTGTTTTCTAGAGCATGAGTAATTAATTGTTTTAAATGCCAAGGATATTGTATTATGCTCTTGTTTAACAAATGATTATTCTAAATTATAGTTAATTGTAATTTTTCGAAACAGATTATTTCTTAATATTAACTTAGATTAGACTAAAATCTATGATTAATTTAATTAAAAATAATTTCAGAGCATTCTTATAGTTGCATGTTAATGAAATATTTTAAAAATAGCATGCATTAAATGGATAACGCGTTACGAATTACAATGTCGTTGTCAAGTGTATTCATATTGTGTATTAAGGTCAATAAATATTGGCTCTGATATATATTAATATTTGGAGAAAATATATAATAAGAAAGAAAAAATTTAAAATAATATTATTGAATACAGTGAAAAAAATAGTTAATATCAAAGCTATTGAGTATTTTTGAATTAAAAATATATAATATTTAACTATCAATTTAATATGAATATTAAAGGTGTACCAATAGTTCAAATTGTGAATCAATTTGAAAGTGATATTTCGGAGGTTACGAATTCGAATCCTCCTAGTCCGGATGTTTTTTTTCTATCTTTTTTATATACATTTTTGGTATAAAACAAATTATTATCTATTTGTCTTTAAATATTTCAGGATACTGGCAACATTGGGATACATATTTAGATTTTATTGTAACGATAAGGCTTAAAAGGACTCGTATCCATGGCCGTAAAAATACATATTAACAAAAAAAAATTAATTACAAACATATGAAATTAATTTCGGCAAAATGAAATTTAAATTTAAAACACTTTAATAACATGTCCTATTTACACAATCCTTATCTATACATCTTAACGTTGCTGTTATTTTGTAACAATTGTTCTTGAACATAGAGCCCTAGAAATGTCAATCAAAAAAGTTTCAAGAAATGACCTTCGGAGTATCTTCAAATCTTCACGATTCTTAACATTCTATACAATACATTTTTTTTTCATATGTAAACCTTGATTATAGTAATTGTTAATAAAATAGCCTTCGTATTTTGAAGTTTAAATTCATGATTGTAGTAGGTGAATGTATTTTTTCTCAACAGTCTAGTCGTGTCAGTCAAAATTTTATAGGCTTATTGTATTCTTTTCGTCGTGATAATTTGTATATATATATGAATTCAATTGAAAGATTACATACAAATTATATATTAACAATAAGCATTGATAATTCAATGAAAAACTTTGTATAGCACTACTTCAACTTAATCTTATATTGAAATAAACAATTTCTTTAAGATTATATTTAAATGTAAGACAATAGATGAAATTATTAATATTATGTAACGAATTCATTGGTTATTGTAAGTGTTGGTCAAACCTTTTAAATAGTAAAAGCTTTTATGAGGTTACGCCATACATACACTTCAATCGTCAAAATGTTTTCTTAATTAGAATTGCTGATTTAATACATTATGTAATGTCATGATGAGAGTTTTTTTTTTATTTTTCGTAAGAAAAGACCAAAAGAATATATATATATATATAGCAATTAGCAAAAACATCGTCTTGATTCTCGTCAGTAAGCTAAGTCTTTGTCTAATTTATTTGCAAAGAAGTATTTTTCAATATATAATTCTCGTTTATAGCATCAATTGTGCTCTAAATCTTTTATGCTATTAGACAACTGAGCATTAGTTTAATATATCCGCTTCGTGATAGATCAGCTTTGGAGACAAAAGAGCGGATCCAAGTAGCCTTGTGGTCAACATTGAATAGCTCCAAAGTGATTTAAATTACGTAGTAAGGCCAATGTCTTTAATAAAATAATTACCAAATTATTTCGTACACTATTTTTTAAATCAATACTTAAATCGTTATATGTTTTTCACTTGTGAAATATTTTATTTTTAATCCTAATTTTAGAGGTGGAAGCCTCATTATTGATAAGGTTCGTTATATTGTGTAATATTTTATTTTATTTAAACTATCAAACATTAGTGTAGCAATGGGATAAGTTAAAATTTAATTCCTTCCATATTTGGATTATAGACCCCTTCTAAACAATGGCACGTACATAGGTTATTTTTTGTATGTATGAACTATAGGGACTACAATAAATATTATGAAACACTAAGTTTTTCAAGCGACTTTGGTTGTGAGGAGTATTGAATTAATTTCTATACTTAGATTTTTGTTAATTCTGTTAACAAAAACATTAGTAATATGTTAGTAGTATAATGTATATTACAAAATACTGTTATATTTAATTGTGATTATTTTCTATGTCTCATCTACTTTCAGTAACTTACATTCTTGCCAAGTTTATGGATATATCAAGCACCAATTCACCGACACTGGCGAAATCTTCGGCTTTCCAGTCGCCCTTAGGCTGTGATACCACTGCAAGAAATAAACAATTTTAATAATCACTCTAATGCCGGTTACATTCACTACGCCTTAGGTTGTGATACCACTGAAAGAAATAAGCAATTATAATGATTTGTCTTTGCTGGTCATACGCTACGGTTCATTAGAGAGGTAATCTGGGCAGGTATACCTGCGCAGGTTCAAAACACAGCACAGGTCTATTCCCACACACATTTCGTCTACTTGCACAGGTATATCAGCACAGATGGATCTCTCCGGTAGACCGTAGCGTGTGTGACCGGCATTAGATTCGTCATTCATTCTTCTTCCAAAATTCATCATCATTAATTTATTTAAAAAAATCATACTTTTTAAAACAACAAGCAAATTGTAAGAAATTTCAATAGTTTTATGTTTATTTTTGTTTAATTATCAATTTATCACAGGTAACTATTACTTACAAGCAGAACAAGTAAAACGAAATGTCAGAGAATTTTAAATGTTATTGGGTCAAATTAAATCATTAAAACTGAAATATGTTAATAATTCTTGTAGCACATAAAACTGATCGTAATATGTATGACACAAGTATGGTATTTTGACATAATTATTATAAAATTATAAACTGACAATGTATGATATTGTCTACAGGGGTAATAAACGGTGACAGTTTTTTTGGTATAAATACGTTGACATAATGAGATCTAAGACTTTCGTAAATATTGATTTATATAAATACAGTGACATCTTAGTCAGTGGTGGCCTAGTGGTTAAAAGGCCCGCCTCTCATTCACGAGGGCACGGGTCCGATCCTAGCCCTGGCAAGTATCAATGTGATTTTTCCGATCATATGTGCTTTCTAAGAGTATTTAAACATCACCGATTAGTGCATTACCAAAGAGGGTTGATTTCAGGCACGCGGCCGGTCGTAAAAAAGAATCAGCCAAGAACTATTCATGTAAGGCAGATCCTAGCTAAAGCTGGGGAATTGCCAGGTAGAAGAAGAAATATAGTGACATCTTAAATTCTGACTGCTTTGAAGTTTACTTTGAAGTTTGTTAATAAATGTTCTTATTGAATATTATGGCTTACGAATATTTCTTAGGGAATTTAACAAAAACTGTTATCGTATAGAAAGGGAAAGTCTTCTATATAATTGTAATATTTTATATAATTGACTTCCAAAGTTTTAAAGAGAACTCATATATTTCTACGTTCCGATAATTTCAATTGAAGAACTGTTTCAAATTTGACACATAATTTTTTTGTGTTTTATATCTTGCAAGCAATGATTGCTGGGTTTTTAAATTAATATTATTTGATGAACCAATATCATAGTGATATTTTTTATTTAATTTACTTGCGTTTCAATTGAATCTGATAAATGAAATTATAATTCAGAATAAAACATTGATTAAAGACATTGTGATCAAAACAAGTTTGTTGAGAATAAATAACTCATCTTTACTTTTTGTAATGTTTAGTAATTAATTGATATTAATAATCAATTTACTCAATATTAAAGGTTGACTTACAGATTCTCGTTCTAGCGTCAAGATACGCTTGATTGATTGCCTCGTATGTAATGCATGTGTGTTGACCGTCATAGGCGCTGCAAAAAAAACACATTGATTAATTATTATACTCCTCTTTTATATGAGATTTTTTTTCTTTATAATTATTTAATCTTCTTATTCAACACCTTACCAATACACGATATAATTGAAAATACGCAACTCTAGTAGACTATTAGAACTAAAATTATAGTGCGTAGTAAAATAGTACTAATCAATGAATGAATAGATCATTATCAGCTGATTAATATAGAACTTGTAAAATTTCTGTTTATTTATAAGTAGTAAACCTTAAAAACTATAGTTTGAACTTTGAGAGTTCTTTCATACATTAGTAATGTCATAAAAACGAAAGTGAGTTTATTTCCTTGTAACTACACTCCGTTTTAATTAAGAAATCGAATGTTCTGAATTCTTGTGTATTTATCAACAAGGGCAGTGAAAATCTTATAGCTTATATTTCATCATTATCTAGAAAAGTAGGACAATATCTGACGAAAACACCAAAAAAAATTGTATGGGTGAAGCCGGCTGTCAAAGCTAGTCTTCATCTTCTAAATAATATAACATCCTTGTATCAAAGACGCTTTCATCTGGAGCCAGCACGACGTATTAGGCAACATTATAGACGCTCACTTTCAAAAATCCTTTCGCTTCCAGTAACTATTACCTGCCACTGTTTGACCGGTTGATGTAGGAAATGGACTTGCGAGGCTATGTTACGACGCCATCTTACCAGTTTGATGAATTAACAATCAAATTCTTTATAAATATAGCGTTAAATTCTAAACATATTAATGATTTTATTTTAATAACAAATGAAAGGACAAATTAAGACTGTAACTTGTTTACCTTAACACAAATACGACAATAAATAGTATAAGCTGTGGGTATTACGAAATAATGTTTTAAACATTATCGTATGTATTCTATTTGATTTGTGTATATTTATTCTTGATTCAAATTAATTCCATTTACAAATAGAATGAAAAATAGTTTTTTTTTAAATATAAAATGCAAAGAGATTTTATTTGAATTTGACGTCAGATATTTTTAGCACTGGCAATACTATTAAGGATTAGTATGTAGTATCCTAAATAGTTGTTTAAACTATAAGTCAATATAACTGTCTCTGTGTATTTCTCTGTATATTTCCAAGATGGCACATTACTTATGTTCGTTCGTCTAATGTGCATCTAACGGTCTTTGTCCACACAACTGACATTATTCCTTGGTTCGATTTCACAACCATGATAATCGAAAATACCGTTCGTATAATTAACGGTTCTTTGTATACATAATTTATAAAAGTTTTATAAAATCAAGCTGTTTACATTAACCTATACTTTCTAACCATTATCGGCCTCGCCTTGTTTATATAGAATTCGCCCGCCGCATTAATTCTGATTACAGGAAATGTGTGAATCAAGTTATCATATGAAGCTATATTCTGTTTATAATTGACCATCTATAATAACTAGCTTTAGTCTGTACTGTAGGAAGTATATTATATAATATTTGATTAAGATAATACATATATCTGACTGTCAAGGATGTCTGAGTTTCTTTACGTAATCTCCTAGACGTCTTAGGCTAGTCATTACATTCTTTAATGTCTAGCTGGTCTTAAATTAATTCCATATGAAATATTTCACTAATCAAGTTAAATTTATTAGATCTAGTTTCTAAAACATTATTTATAAACTTGTAAACTTTTCCAATTAACTTTTATAGCATTTTCAAAATAATATAACGAAATAACAGAATATAAAAATATGGCACAGATTATTACAAAAAATATTAATGTAAATTAACATAATATTAGATACGTTACACGAAATTGTCTTTAAAACATTCGACAAATGCTCTGACATCTGATACAAGATGTTTATGATAATTAAGTTAGTGAAAAATATTATTATGATTCAAACAAATACAGCCGTAGGCAGTTCATATTACAGAAACAGCTGTTATAAATCTATTAACTAATACGACTTTTAATCTTATACTTACACTTATAATATATCCCTACTAATATTATAAATGCGAAAGTAACTCTGTCTGTCTGTCTGTTACGCTTTCACGCCTAAGCCACTGAACTGATTTTAATGAAATTTGGTACAAAGATGGAGTTGACCTTGAGAAAGAATATAGGATAGTTTTATCCCAGACTTTTGATAGGTTCTCTTGGAAACGCGATATAACCGAACTACACGCGAGCGAAGCTGCGGAAAGCTAGTACTTCATAAATCTATACAAATTAAGCAATACTTCCATCAAATTATAATGTGCTATACTAGTATTAGTAATGAATATACATTGAATTATCTTGCGTGGTAAGTGAAGGTGATTAAAGTACACAAAAATAGTTACAAAATCCCGAGCACCCACATATGCAACGTTGAATTATAGGCAACGTGACTGAGATTAGCTGAGATAAAGAAAGTATTAAGTGTGTCAAGTTTGCTTGATGCAACTGTGAAATGTATGGACTGTATTTTACTCTACTTTTAGTCAGTGGTGGCCCAGTAGTTAAAGGGCCCGCCTCTCGTTGCCGAGGGCGCGGGTTCGACCCTGGCCCGGGCAAGTACCAATGTAATTTTTCCGAATCATATGTACTTTCTAAGAATATTTAGACATCACTGATTAATGTTGATTCCAAAAAGAGGGTTGATGGCAGGCAGGCGGCCGGTCGTAAAAACAAATAGCCAAAACCATTCACAACATGTAAGGCAGACCCTGGCTATAGCTGGGAAAATTGCCAGGTAGAAGTAGAAGTATTTTACTCTACTTAACTGTTTATTTCTCAAACTTAAAGCTAATCAGACAAAGACTTCCCATTACATAAATCATTAGGACGTTTACGAGCTACTGATTTTGTATATATGTTGAAATTTTTAAAGAAAATATAAGAGTATATTTTAGCAGTTATTTCTAAGGTACAATTAATCTTGATAGTACTCATAAAATATCAAATATTTCCGAGTTTCTTATGATATAACTGCCAGTATGTGTAACGTTAATATGTTTGAAACATTTGCATTAGTGTATTGATACTTACAAGTTTCCCTTTAGTAAGTTGAGGCTGTAATCATATGCGGAGGATCTCCCAGGTCCTGTGAGGTACAGAGCACAATCATCATCTCCTGGGGCTGCCAAAGGTGTAAGACTGGTCGCGTACACTATACATAGCGCTACCAACAGCGCTCTGAAAGAAAAATACATCGTTATAACCAGTCATGTACACAAAAATAAACACCTAGCTTTTTAAGTCTAATTACTCGAAATTTAGTTGTGATTTTGTCAAAGTATTTTTTGCTTCACAAGATGAGTTAGGAAGGTTATAGAGAATAAGGCAAAAATATATCACCATATAATAGAAAAACAATGTTGGTACATTCATAAACTAATTGTATTTTCAGGTGAGTTTTGTTGTAAAACAAAATTCAGGGATACCTTTTTCATTTACGTTTGATAACCTGATATTTTTTACTTAATTATTTATATTTATATTATTTATTTATAGAAAATAAAAGTACTAATGTACTTTTATGTTCTTTTAATAATTCTTGTATATCAATTCTCAATAATAATTGTTACGGAGCACTTGCTTTGGGCGTTTCTTTCAGAATATGTTCCGCATTAATTTTAAGGTAAAACATTCATTTATTTTATATCAGTTATTTCTTATTAAATGTAACTCTACGTTTATAGATACGGAATAGAGTACAAGTTTTTATTGACTTGCTAATATATGAATTATATTAGATTCGGTGTACGTTGCAATGAAATGGGAGTGCCTATTTTGTAACGAGGCTTTATTAACAGCTAGATTTTATGAACTGTTTCGCTTGCATTTTTGATATTCATATTATTACAAACAAAATCTACCATTTTTCATCATAACTATGAATATGCATTTATTAATAAAAACTCCTCTTAAAATTCAAATTTTATATAAATTTATTAATTGCAACACTAATATAATATTATTAGAGCATTGGGCAACATTACTTTTAAATACTTTTTTTGTTGGAACATTGAATTTGAATAATCTTAACTAATCAAAAAAGTAGTACAAAACTTAGTAAACAATGAAATTTAACAAATTTATATACAAAAGATTGTTAGGTATATAACATTTCCTTTTCAATTTTTTTTTTCAAATCCGACTTATTATATGGTCACATTTATTTCGTATGAAGAATATATAATACGGTATTTATTTTAACAAATTCCATACTGTATATATAAATAGAGTGATATTTCAATGCACTTAGAGTTTAGTTAGTTATAACAAATGAAAAATCATATTTTGGAAATACTAAAATTTAAAAATTCGACTTTAGAGGACTAAATTAGCTTTAAAGATTAAACCGGGAATTTCTGTTCAAATTTTTTTTTTCTGAAATCAAAAGTAAACTGTTTATTTTTTTTCTAAATTTATTGTAATCTTGGTGAACAACTTTAGCTGAATAGATTCAACTAACATAATCTATAGTTATCTACTCAAGATATAAGGCACTTTATTACCACACGTTTCAATCAATCAATATTAAAATTTGGAACAACTTCACTTATATTGTTTTTTAAAATATCAAATCACTAAATATTTAGTTCAGTTCCTTTTTCTTTTTTCAAATTTATAAAAGTAAAAGTCAGTTTAATTTTGTTTTGTTTGTTGAGTTTTAATTTTTATTAAAAGTGTGGTTGCAGTTTAAAAATCTGTCATTATATGAATAAATTATATATAGTATGGAGTTTTTCATAACATTGGTTTAGGAATGTATAAATTGCATCGTGTGGTAAGAAATATATTTTAATCGTGTCTTCGTATATTATTTGTACGTAGCAAATAAGAAACATGGCATATGATAAATATGTACATATACGCATTATTACGTACATTCTTATTGCATTACTTAATGTATTAAGAAGTTTTTACGAACTCTATGTGATATACATCTGAAGAGTATTTACTAACATAGTATTACTTTTATATTATATTACTTTTTACTATAAAGAGCACGTATATATTACGTATATTTACGTACTGTAAAGAGTTTTTATTGAAACAGTATTACTCTTTAGAATTCATTTCCGAAAGTATTTTTCAAGTTAAAAATTCTCATAGACAACGAACTGGGACATATTGGAGTTTAGAAAAATCAATTACATTAAAAATATGAAGAATATTGGTTCTCATTTTTTAATTAAGACAAATATTTGCCTAATAACTTAAAATAAATAGGTTGATTTGATCGAATCGTTAGCATTCTACACGAGCAACATATCAGTGGATACAGGATATAATGTCTAGTTACAAATTAACCATCAATTTCCGTTTAGTATGAACTCGTTCACCTCGTCGTAGAATGTCATCAGTTCTTTTTTACCTTTCACTAACGTTTTATTAATTGATTCTTTAACAAAATGTCAATTATACATCGATATATGTGGTAAGTTATTGAAAACTTTTTTTTTTAATACAAACTCTTTCGTTTTATATTGGCTGAATCAGTTGAATGACACTGATGTGTTAGTGTCACAGTTTAAAAAACAAATGGATGCTAAGTAAAGGTTTGTTTAGTATTTATAGGCTAAAATTATTAAGTAAACATAACATTCTATTGAGACTTGGGTATACTATTTAGTGTCATGTTTGTAATATTTTTCTCACAGTGTACATTCATACCCAGTATTTAGTTTTTCGATATATCAAAAACAAATAATTCATTTTAACTGCATTCCCAAATAGTTTTATTTTAATACGTAGCTCACCATTTTATCATTTACTTTTTTTTACTGTTTCCAGACACAAACAGACTCTAATTAGAATTTAAACGTTTTTTTGGCTTTTATTCACAATTTGATTTCTTTTACGACAAGTATTGTTAAAATACATAATTGTAAGATATATATACGCCCCATAGTATTCATCTATCTCAATATGCGTAACCTAGTTATATACAGTCAAATTTAGGTCATATTTTTAGTCACGACACATTCACTGTTTAAAATCTCATAGGTTTTTTAATGAAAGCAATTAACCTTGTATGTTGCTTTACTAGATTGGAATTCATGCGTAATCTCGTATTCATAATAAATAAATAGTTTCAAAACTTTTTAAGATGTTTGAAATATTTTAAGATGTTAAGACATTTTGTTTTTGTTTACTGTAAGATTCTTTATTAGTTAATATTTTAAAAATTTCCGTAAAATTTGAATAAGAAAATACATTATAAACATAAATATTATATTGACAAATTGACATTTATTTCTTTTATCATTAATGAATGATAAACTATTATCTTCTTCTTCTTCTTTTTCCTGGCAATTTTCCACCTTTAGTCAGGGTCTGCCTTACATGTTGTTTTGGCGAATTGTTATTACGACCGGCCGCCTGCCTGACATCAACCCTCTTTGGGAATGCATCAATCAGTGGTGTCTAAATATTCTCAGAAAGTACATATTATGACTCGGAAAAATCACATTGGTACTTGCCAGGATCGAACCCGCGACCTCATGCATGAGAGGCGGGCCTTTTAATCACTAGGCCACCACTGACTTGAATGATAAATTATTATGTTTTATATAAAATGCTCAATTGGGGTCAAAAATTGTATCACATACGTATTTCTTAAGTAGGTCAAATAATTAAATGTTATGTATATTCGATATGTTATTTCATATATCTCCTGTTTTTTAACCCAGTAGGTAATTATTAAAAAACCGCCAAATGTCATAATCACTGTGGAAGATATTGGCAAATTGTAAGTCAAGACTTTCACTATAATTGTTAATAATCGCCATTATAATATATGTATATGTTATTAAAGATTGTTTTTATATATAAAATAATGATTATTTCGACTTCCAAGTTTACGACTTTCGAGTAATAATTGGCGATGATAAGTTCAAAAGTATTAAATGATTTATATAATCTAAACAAGAGATGTGAGTTTTCTATTCTTTTTAGACTATCGCGGCTACCAAATTGCGGTTACATTACCATTTCTGTTGTTATTTTTATACATCACAATTGACGTCATCTTAAAATAACAATACTATACCAGTCGATTATAAACCTTATGTATTGGACTTTAAAGTGCAATAACCAGTTTAGACCTTTGACACAGAGGCTCCACTTTCGCTCTCTACTAGAGCGACTTAGATTCTTGGATATATGTAGTTGGAAATGTACCGGTTCAGGTGAATATCCTTATATTTTGAACGTGAAAGTTATAAATGTTTGTAGAATGTAGATCACGTGGTGTGTCTATAAAAAGATTCTTTACGTAATAAATAATTTATATAAATTATATATTATTTTTTATGTTAATGATATAACTGTTGAAGTTCTCGGAACTAAAAGAGAACATTTCGATCGATTTTGTTTGTTTGTTTAAAAGAAAGTTTTGCATATTTATATCCAACTCACGTTTTTATTGCTTGTATCGAATTCTAAAAACTATTTTTGATTCGGTTTATTTTCTGTTTATATTTATAGATATTTTTCTAAGCACTGAATTAATTTATGTAAATAAAGTATTATTATATTTTGTTCTGGTATTCTGTTTCTATTTTAATTTTAATTGCGGGTACATCTATTTTTTTTAATTTCTTTAAAATTTCGAATAAACCAAGAAAATATATATTTTCTGTTCCATATTTTTCATCAAAAATAGCCTAATGAAATTGAATATGAATTAATATTTTCAAATTGTTATTAATCGGACCAGATAAAAAAGCATAACATCCTCACTTTTAAATTATTTTAAAAAATTGTGTCCATGTTTTGTTAGAACCTGGGATATATATTTTTCTTTAAAATTAATTTAATAATTATTCATAAAAAAAACTACATGTATAAATTGTATTGAAATTATTATAATTCAAAAAACTTCAAAGGTAAATTGTTTAGCTTTTACAAACAATTGTTGTCGAAGCTCATCATATTGTTCGCGCTACGCAATGTAGGCGCATTCTCTACGATAGTAAAATACTTAAAGCAAGTGTAAAACAAAAAAAACTATTTAATAATATATTTATGTAGAGATAAAAAAAAGAATTTAGGAAAAATATTAAATATCAAATTTAATTCAAAATTCATATCATCTTTAAGGGAATAAAAAAAAATTGAAATACCTCGAAAACATATTGACACAAACACAAACACACACAATAGCTATACTGACATCGCGTGCTGTCTTAGCAGCGTCGAA